AGACGGCATCAAAGGCAACACCCACAAAACATCACAACCGGTTAGCGCTGAGGGGAAACTTAAACAAACCACTAGGCACAATCGGCACAATGCTGAAGGGCTGCTGTATGCCCTGCGTCATTACAAATAAACTGAAAAATCTAAATCCAAGGTTTTATATTTTACCCAACTGAAGCACAGAGCCGAGTAGGAGAGATGGGAGGCTTCATCGCCAGTTGGATGCAAAATTCAAATGAGTATGTCTGTAGTCAGCACTGCAGTAGTTAACTTTAACGTTATTTTCACATCATCCGAAGCATGTAAGATTGTTTCAGGGGGACCATGTATGTAGGATATTATATTATGTTAGGTGTAATTCATCATATCTCTAATCAAATGTGATATGGTCTCTACCGGCTTATCTGATTCAACCAGGTAGCAAAAGACATCTGGGAACGAAACTTTGGGCCGTTTAGTTGGATCATTTGTCTAGTCTTTTAAAATGTATCGGACAACAATTCACTCTTCAGTTTATTAATATACATGTATTTGTCAGTTGACAGTAATGAATCAATATGGGACATGACAACTTGTAAGATGATAATGTCATCAGAGGGGCTCTGAAGACAAAGAATCACAAAGTTGTTGTTTTTTTTTCCATGTGTGTGGTTATATTAGCAAAACGTGTCATATGACATTGACCAAAAAGCAATGATTTGAGATTTTGTACCCAGCAAGCAATATCTGTGACTTCAATGTTGACATTTGGTTGACAATAATGTTAAATCAGTCTGTCCAAAAAGTATTTTCAGCCACTGGCTAAAGGTTATTTCATTACCAACTCACAACACAACAGTTGTGAGTTCAAAAAGTCTCCTCATGCTTGCATGTTTTTCGTTAGTGATTGCAATGCACTGCTCACAATCAGTTTAATCAGTATAAATATGAGATCCATCTAGAAAAAAATCATTGATGTGTGTGTAAATGTGAAATAAATCTTGCAACAGAAGTAGAATTCCCAGGGACATCTGGTCTTATGCTAAACACAAGCCGTTCACATAAATGCACATTTCTAAACATTTCTACTTCCCCTGAAATCTTCTGATTATATCCTGCTGTGGTCTCACACCAGCTCACACTGACATCTTGCAGAAAAAATACTAGGGGTCTGGCAGGAGAAACTCAGAATAAAGCCAGAGTGAAAAAATATAAAATTATATATATTTATGTCTGTATACAAATATAAAATAAAGGATGAACTCATGGTGGCCATTGAACAGTTCAAATTTCTGCATTTCCTCAAGAAATGCAAGACCACTACCATTTTGGCAACACAACAGTTGGCACGATTCTTCAGATATATAAGGCCACCTTGCAACTAGACAGAGAAACCACTATAAGAGAACGAATGTGCTTAAAGCAAGTAGGAAAATGTTTGGCAGCCTGCTCTTTGTAAGACTTGGTCCAAATAATAAATATAAGCAATCCAGATGCTTACTCCAATTATCATCAAGGTGGTTAAACTGGCTCTAACACTGCCTTTGGCTTTGAGTATAGCAGCCTGTAATAAAATATAACAAAAACCAAGTACAGATTTTGTCTGTCACATGCTCATCCGCCCTGATGCACATTCACTTGTCAATAAAGACTACAGAGACATTTGACCCAAAGCCAGCTGTTGACCTGTGGATGGAGACAGCTTAATGGAGTCAGGGAGGTGCATCTGCAGCATCTTCATCATCTATCTACTATGCAGGAAGCTGAAGTAGGGGACAGTAAGGGAGACACTTATACGCTATAATGACAATATTTGCCTTTATATCAATGCTATGTGTAGTCCAATGGAATGACAACATCCACAAAAGAGCGGAGAACAACATACTGATGAACAGAAAACATAATGCAGCCGTTTAATTACGTGCACGAAGATCGTAGTGGTCGCGTGCAGGCACTTTATGCTGTCACTGTATATAAACGTCATTCTCTTTCCATTGGCTGAAATTGAAATCTCCAGAGTATATGCTGCCGCGTTCAGACATCAGCTCACTCAGATTTTCTGCGGATAAAATACTAGAGGTCTGGCCAGAGAAACTCTGGCTAAAGTCCGGTGAAAAATGCGGCTGTTTGCGTTCACACATAGCCTAAAGAACCTCCGGGTAGCCAAATCTCCGGAGTATTTCAGGAGATTTCCGTATGCGTGAAAAGGGTTTTAGAGACTTTGTTAAGAATTGGGTGAGTACTAATTACCATCTACTGGTACTTTCCTGAGTAAATCACTGAACAAGTACTGTACAGTAGGTACACCTCTGTTGTTCCTTAAAGAGTATTGAGAACCGATAATGACAAGCCTTAATTTTGAGGATTGTCCATTATTTAAAACTGCCAGATCCCCAAAGTGATAGAGGTGACAGTGAAGTAATAGTGGCATTTAGACTGTAAAATGATAACGCTATTTTTTTTAACATACTCATACTTCCCTATCTAGACATGCATAAAGACAAGTCTTTTAATGGCCACTGAAAGTAGAGCTGCTAGCTTTGACATACAGAGTATCATCTTGTGGATGCTTGCTCTAAGAGCACATGAAAGCTTTTCAGTGAATGTCAAATGATATGTGTATGTACACTACAGTACGTATGCAGATGCTTGTGTGTGTGTTTGAGAGGGTTAAAGTGTATATGGAATAAGATAAGGCACGTAGTATGGGAGTGTTACCACAGTAGGCACAATACTATCTGTAAAGATTCACATATCTACAAGGGTGGACAATGTCTAAGACCGTTATCAGCTGTTTTCTTCTGCAGTGTGCATGTTGTCTGTCTGTCTTTGAGTAAAAGAATACAGGTCAGTGTCTGATTGTTAAATGCATAGTTATGTGAGCATGTCATGTGTCATCTGTGTGTTTGTTCAGAGTAAACTCTGAAAAAAGCTGACATAAGCAGAGCAGTGGTTTTGTTTTCATGCTATACTGTAATGATTGCATGCATGTTTACACAGTATTTTTAGTTAAAAAATTATATTTGCAGTATAAGCACTGTACAGTGTGCATTTAAATATGTAATTTAAGTCACATTTTAAATGTAAAAAGACAAATGGAGTGGGATGGAGCGGCTAGGTTTAAGGCAGCTTCTCAGGTGATAAGGTGAGTTAGCTCTTGCTCAACCAAGTTAATACATTAACCTCATTGATTTTTCAATCAAATGACCTTTTTATGTAGGCTTTGAATCTCCTTGTGAAAAATGTTTTTTTGAACCGTGTGAGACAAGATCAACATTCAAATTCCTACACAAACGTATGTCACAAAGGTCTTACTTCTATACCCCTGCTTTCAGTTTTGTTGTTGTTTCTGTGTTTTGTTTTGTGCTGTGTAATCCTAAAAAACGCAAGATACCCAAACAGAAGTGTCATCACACAAACTCGGTTAAATACTTGGCCTACTCACTGTCTCTGGGTTCAGGGTCCAATCCTTTGAACCTGCCAGCAGGTCTGGCATCCAGCACCTGGAACTCTTTGGTGTCCAGGTTATCCAGTATATCCTCATAGGTCTTTATCCAGGCGCGGTTTAAAGAAGCCTTAAACTCGGCCGGTGCTGGTCTCGCGTACTGGTCACTCACCGGTCGGCCCTCCAGCAACCAGTTCCGGAGCCCCCCATTAAGCATTGACACCGAGCTGTGGCCGAACACCCGGAACATCCACCACACACGGGGCGCAGAGAACGCGCCAAACTCGCTGGCGTCGTACACCACGACGTGCGTGTCCCTTTCTATTCCTAATTTCTCAACGTAATCTGCAAAAATCTCCTCTGACGGAAGCATGTGGTCTAGAGGAGATGTTTTATCACAGCACTGGTCAATGTCAAAGAAAGCTGCGCCCATGATGTGCCTCTTCTTAAACTCGTTTTTGGAGTTGCGCCGCATTTTGGGCAAATGCCAAGAAGTGTCCAAGACGCGCATTTTCCCCTCAACCTTCATGGCCTCGGCGAGCCATTTAGAAGTGAGCAGAGCTCTCACTTGAAGCGCCATGGTTAGAGGCAGACAGGCTTTAAAGTTTACTTTACTCAAGAGATCCAATTTATCTTGTGTGTGTGTGTGTGTGTGTGTGTGTGTGTGTGTGTGTGTGTGTGAGAGAGAGAGAGAGAGAGAGAGAGAGAGAGAGAGAGAGATAGCATCAACAAACACGCCCCCAGTTCACAGTACAACCAGTACAACAGCTGAAAGTGAATGAAGGCGATGACGCGTTACAATACTGTAAAAACTAATGTGATACAAGTAAATTGTCAAGGATCAACCTGTGTCTCAATAATTTGCACATTCTTTTTAAACTAAGTGGATGTAGTTTTCTTGTCCCAACTATGTATTTATTTTCAATATAGGCAAGGCCTACCTAGGCCTATAGATCATGTTATTATTAGCTTTATTCCTATTTCCTATCCGAGATTACATCAACCCTGTCCTTCATGACCTCCACTTTAGACTACTTCTATGTTGTGTTGTTCTCTTAGTTTTTGTTGTGTTTTTGGTTGTTTCCTGTCAAAGCGTCTTTGAGTATTTAGAAAAGCGCTATATACATCTAATTTATTATTATTATTATTATTATTATTATTATTATTATTATTATTATCATTTATGTTAAAAAAAGTGACATGTTGATTCAACAAAGTTAAGAAAAATAAAACACTAGCTAGATTTACAGAGCTGATTTCCGTTTCAGTGGATAAACTAAAATGTGCATCTAAATTAAAGGTACTCTTATTATTGCCTATAGTTATTATCTAGGGTCACATTTAATATAACAGACGTCTGCATAAAAATAGTACAGCAATAGAGATGAGCATCATTTTCAGTATACCTGCAGAAATGATTCATTATTTTCATTGTTATTGTTATTATTATTATTATTAGCAGCAGTATAAACTTATTATTTATAGTCTATGATTATAATCAGCATTTGTAGAATGGGTATTGAAAATGTAGCTACAGGTTGGCAGTGCGGAACTTTACTTTCCTTCGATTGTTTGCTAGACGGCTGCTTTCAAGTGATACACTAAGGGTAGTGTACCGGATGTTGATAGACCCACACGTTGCCTTCAAGAATTGAAGGCACATTCTTATTGATGTGGGTAGCATTTCTTCAAAACCTGACTTTATAACATGTCGGCGTCGTTGATCAGGAGAGGATTGGAGCTGCTGAGTAATGACATTAAAGGTTAGTGCATCACTTTAGTTCAGTGAGCTACATTATCATCGGACATCACAGTCCTCTAACAAACATTTCGAGTTTTGTTTCAAGCAGCTCATTCAATCAAATTGAATCAATGCGTCTGTCCTGGAGCGAAAATCTAATTTTTTAAATTCTAATTTAGCTTTATTTGGGAGCTATAATCTGCATGTGCTGATGTATTACTAACTCCAAGATGACTCAAGATTGTTTAACTTTGTTTTTTGTTTTTATTCGGACTCAAATGGTTGTTTGACTTTACGTTTTTATGTCTTCAGTACAACATTATACGAAATATAACGTTTCAAAGCATTGGCCAGTCTATGCCTATAACCTACAAGAAGTGAGAAGCATTGACTGTGCAGCCAAATCTGGTTTTCAGCCCTTGTATTGTAATTATTCTGTTTTTACATCCCGCCAGATGCCAGCAAAGTGAAGAAGAAGAAGCAGCAGCAGCAGCAGCAGACTCCCAGCTCGGCCAAAGTCATGGAGCTTGTGAGCACCAAGCGGCAGGGAGTCACCAAGCAGGTCAAAAGGTTACAGGGTCGCCTCGGCCCTGGCAAGAGCAAAGCTACAGTCAAAGACAAGAGGATCAAATCTGCAGTCGGTCAGTCACAGCACGGAATTTGGAGGACAATAAGTCCTTCTTCTATAGAAATCACGTATCTTATTCAAGCTTAGGCCTTTACGAACTTGTCCAAAAGGCTGAATTAAAAAACACGAAGACAAGATTGGGGGACATGTTTTAAATAACAACATTTTTTGAAATGACAATAACTCTGAACTTCTTCTTTGCTGTTTATTGTAGAGGAGTTCAGAAAGAAGCAGAGGAAGAGCCAGATGAGTGCTAACCTCAAGTACTTCATGGAAACTGGCTACAAAGCAACAGACTCGGACACTTTGAAGGTAACACAGGGCAGAAACTTGATGACTCTTTGCAGTACTTCATGTTTTATTACGATACATAGCTTTTTCAATTAAGGAATAATCTCAAGTCTGTCTAAGGGCGCACTCACACTGGCAGTGTTGTCCCGTACCGTGCTTAGTCACGATTCTCCCCCCTTCCCATTCCCCCCCTGCTGGCCTGCACTCACACTGCTCCAGGACTAACCGGGCCTGAGCACGGTTACCTCTTAACGTCGTGATGCAACACGTGCATGGCTTTACGTAATTATGAAGCGTTCTTAGTTTACGGGTCAAGCGGACTCGAGAGAGAGAGAGAAAAAAGATACGCTGTCGTGGCTGCGTCTGCACATTGGAGAACAACACAGAGACCTGACAGCTACGTTACTGACTTCATGGCTTATTTTGAGTCATTTTAGTCAGATACAGCAAGCACACTCCAGGATTTCTCCTGAATGAACGCTGACAACGTTGTTTACCGGCGTGCTCGTGCTCGTACATGAACTGTACCGTGCCAAAGCACACCTCTTTTTGAAGCGTGCCAGGGCCAAGGAACTGTGCTTCGAGCACGGATCGGAGCACTCACACTAGTCAAACAAACTGGACTTTTAGGGGTGAAGCATGCTGCCGTGTGACACTTCAGGAGCGCCGGTATGCCAGTGTTGTTCGTGGCATGCCAGTTTTGCAGCGATATGTGCACTTTCTTTTGTGACATGGCACCTAAATTAAGTGGTATTTGCCGTGGCCGATGGCGTGCTGGCAGGAGGCCGAAACCATGTACCACTCTTCTCTTAGTACGGCCCGTCTTTCACCACCATGATTCATATGTAAATTAATAACGGTGGTCCTTCTTTACGACATTTACAGCCAATAATGTGTACATGTGTATGGTCTTGTTGACAATGTGAAATAGAGTCTGATGGTGATACAGTACTTACAGTGAAACTATTTAAGTGTAATCAATATGCAGCCCAAGGTCTAAAGCAATCACAAATATGTCCCTGAAAATGGTTAATGCCTTGTTAATAACAACAGATAAGATATGATAAGTATTTCCTTAAGGCGAGGTTACGTACAAGTGGGATCACTCGTTCTGCGATCGATTATTTTGACTGGCTACCTTGGCTAGGCTAAACTGAGATTAGCTTTGCTACGAGCGCACTGCTATCATCTGCAACAATAGTTATTTGAAGTTCACATTTATGGCAGTACTTACCTAAAAGTAAGACCACTCAATTGATTTGCAAATGAATAATGGGGGTGGAAGATGGGCCATACTGGTGTGAGAGACAAGCGGTACAAGGCTCTGGCCCACCGCCATCGGCCCCAGTAGATACTGATACTGATTAATGGAAGTTTCAATCTCTGTGCTGCTGAAGTTCTTAATTTAAAAAGTCATGATTAGGGCGCTGGTGGCCGAGTGGTTCGCTCAAGTGCCACATGTACAGAGGCAATAGTCCTCCAAGCGGGCTGACCGGGTTCAAATCCGACCTGTGGCTACTTTCCCACAAGTAATTTCGCATATCTCTCTCTCTCTCTCCCCCATTTCCCACTCATTCACATTCATATTTGCTATCGTGTCTTCCTACTGTTCCTACATATTTCAGCTAGTTTGGTCAACGTTATAGACTTTCTCTTTCTCTCTCTCCTAACTTAGATCTTAAACCACAACTCGGGGAGACAGTCCAGGAATCGCCCCGAGCGACCTGCTAAGAAAGCTAAGGAGCCAGAGTCTTTGTTCACAGAGGAGGAGTTCCAGCAGTTCCAGAAGGAATTCTTTGGGAGGACTGTGGAGGACAATTAATAAAGCACACCCAAACAAACAATACGGACACAGTGGAAACTCCACAGCTGTGTTTTGATGACCATAGACGATTTCTGGACCAGGTTAGGTTCTGGCAGGTAAATTTACTGCACGTCTCGGCAATGGGCAAAGAAGACTTGGAGGTATAATGTTTATATGAGTTGAAAGTTTAATTGTAACTGCAGACACATTCAGCTGTATACATTTCATTCTTAAATGTCTCCATCTAGAATCTATTTACAGAGTCATTAGTTAATGTGCTTATCCAAAAAGGAGTCATTGCTCTTCATTTCTCAAGAGATAGTGCCGCTTATTAAAAGGTTTTAGAAGCCGCATTTTGACTGTTGTTTAAGTGAAACTGCCAAACCATTGAAGCCACTTCATTTTCACATGAAACGACTTATCTACTGAAAAAAAAACACAATAAAAATGTTTCTTTTTTTTGTGTTTGAAATTGTTGAACTTTTCTCCATATTTTACATTTTTAGTGGGATTCTGTTCTTTTCATTGTTCCACTGTTCTCTGATATTGATCATATATTGACATTCTATTCTATTGAAAAACTTTGGTTCCGGTCAATCAATTGTAAAAATCATTGGAGCTTCATTGATGCAGCTGTGGTCCGTTCTGTGCTAGATTTTAGTTGAGTCAAGACTTCACACCAGATTTTTTCGAAATTAGAATAAAAAGAATCCCACGGTCGTTTAGTATTCTTTGATTCATCATGGTGCAGCAGACAAATCTAATCTAAAATCTAATCTAAAAAGACAGTAATGCATGTTTTAATGACATAATAAAGTTTAAGGTGTCTGTTTTTCCTGTTGCAGTAAATGATACAATCACTGCTCTTTATAACATCAAACTAATTAGTTTTATAAAAGGTAATGCTCACAATGTAAGTAGCATCATTGTAACACATATGGAATGAGCACTTGTACAGTGTCATGGTGAGGGTGTGTGTGCGGTGGAGCCATCACCTTTATGGACTGTCGGACTTAAATTACACTTAATAAAATATTGCTTTCATTCCAACAGCAGCAGAACTTTTGAGCGTTTTGCAAACAAGGAAACAAGTTCTTGAGAATAACAGTTTGAGTTGTATTATTTCAAGCATTTGCAGGTACAACCAGTGAAAATGTTCAAATCGGCCTTCAAACCTTTATGGTGAAAATGAAAGTGTAAAAGACAGTGATAGCAGAACCACTCAGAACAGTCTGGAATGTTACACAATGGACAATAGTGTAGGAAAGAACAATGATCATTCATTCAAGTGGTGTGATTTTGAACTTTGCTATTGATGAGCAGTTAAATTTTTTTTAATGTTTTCATCAACACTAACATATTTTTTTGCCATTGTTGTACATGAAGTGGATACCTTATAAAGATAAGTGAGGATATTTACTTCTTACTTTGATTATCATATCACGATCATCATATGTCTTTGATCTTTATTTTCATTATGATAAAAGTTAACCGAGGTAATAAATCAATTGTTAAATGTCGGCATTTTCTCATCGACGTTTTACATGGTACACAATTTATAACCAGAAGAGATACCCACAGCAGGTTAAGCACTGCTGCATTGGATTCACTTTTGAAACGGGGCTTTTTGTAAACAATAGTGAGAAAAATATTGTAAACAGAATGAACAGAACATTTTCATACCTACTGTATGTTTATTTAATCAGTCTTTAACATCTAAATCTATGTAGGTTATTACAGAGCTACACATATACAGTGATTCATCTAAATACTAAAAATTAGACTAAATGTTTAGAGTTAAGTGAAGAGATGCAACCTTGCTCATTACATGTGAGAATGGCAGAGAACTCAAGATACACAATTCAGGCCCACAATAATGATATATTAAAAGAAAACCATTAAATGAAACATGATTTCTGATGAACTAAATAATATATAATGCCACTTAAAGGTAAAGTAGAAGTATTTATTCACTGCAATTTGGTGCCGGTTTTACCTCTAATCATGCTACATCCTTTCATCCTCTTTTATCTGACTCAACTTTTTCCTTTACCATTTAACTTTCATTTATGTTACTCAGTCATGTGACAAGCGTCACTCTGAGGAGTCATTAAGTAGTGGTGGTAACTCAGATTGCCAGGGAAATCTATTTATTGCCCTGTTTAAAAATAAAATAAAATATAGATATTTGGCATCAGCTCTTGGATTATTGTATCACACGTCATGACGATGATATTTTGTCATATCGGTATTTTGTACGACCCCTACTGCTGATTGTTTTTTCTTTTTATTAATTTAAAATGTTTTATATTCAACACAAATTTTGCACATATACTATCTGCTGTATTAACTCTTATTGTTGCAGCATTAGACAGGGCCCAATGAACATAATGAATACAATTTTAGTAATTGTGTTCTTGCAATTTATGCTTTTTAATTAATGCAGAACTTTCAGTTATATATTTGCCTTAAATCAATTATGTCAAGACTTTTCACAGCTTCTTTGTATGAAATGTGCCACATACCCTTTTTTGTGTGCGCCTTATTTAACCTCACCTGCTTTAATTTAGTATGATGTAATAATCATTACTTTGGATAAACATTTAATCTGATACATAAGGATTGATTGATTACCCTTTCTCACCAAAGCTTGAAAGGTATTTTGATCTGCAAAAATTTGATATTCTCTGAAAATGATGTAAGGCTGAAATATGTTGTTGTTTTTTTTTGTTTTAGAACTTGCATGTAACCACCAGGGGGCAGTCTATTTCACAACCAACATACAGAGAACTACAGCTGAGTTCATTGAGTTTAAGCAAAAGCTGCAATTAATTCACAGAGACTGTACGGTGTAAGCTATGGGTGCAAGAGGACAAATAAAATAAAAAAATATAAGTGAAGAAGGCTAAAGGAAAATAAGTGATAAAAACTGCAATAATTAGATTGAAGTAGATTAGAGAGTTTTCCTAATTGACAGCTTAAACTGTAGGCTACATAAGCGTAATTGTCTATGTTTAATATTTTCTTTGGCTTCAGCACATTATGAAGAGACTATTACTTGTTGACCATTAATGCATTCAACAAGCTGTCGTCAAAAACAAAAGATAAAACCATGAATACGGTTAAAAACACAAATAAGTCTAATTGAAGGGGTATACAAAGGGGACAGAACCAAAGACTGACATTTTTTGACTGTCATATTTAGATTTATGCTTCTTTAATAAATAAAAACTTGAAATGCAATACATTGTGTAAATTCGTACGCATAGTTAAATGTCATTCCTCCCTTTCCTTTCAATGTTTACATTTCGTATTTGACCTACATTTGCCGTAGGGAGGCACTCGTGTGTAAAGCGCCATATGGATCTATTTCCTCATTTCTTCATTGTGCATTTAGCCAATCACGAGAAGGTCTCGGGCGTAGTAAGCACACCGTTGTTTGGGACTAAGCTTTTGCACGCATCCATTCGTTACTGCTCGTAAATCAATTTAATTGAAACGGACACTCCTTGCCTGCGCACTTCTTTACACTGACAACAAACGCCTCTGCGGATTGACACCGCGGAGGAATGCATACGGCGGTGCTTCGGTCTTTATATACCGGGGAGCCTTTCTTCATTCGCCTTTCGTTCCGTGAAGCTTCAAAAGAGAATATAGATCCCTGGTGTACACGCACCCGCGTTAAAATGGCAGTCTAAAGGCGTGCGGCGGCTACCTTTGCAGCGGCAATAACCCGGCAGTGCAGCGCAAACGCACTGGCTATTCTTGGCAAAATGGCGTAAGTACTTTTTATGTATGATTTATATCCGTGAGTGAAGAATGTCAACTTTTCTTCGTGCTGTTTTACATGCAACAAACTTTTTGAGCACGTAAAAATAGGCCATTATTATTTGTATTCGTGTGATAACTAGATAAAGCATGTTTAGAGTTATATAATGTACATTTCCTGGTTCTGAATTAATGGTAGTGTCAAATTACAGACTGTCAGATGAAGTCAGGCGGTACTTCATAATGTCTCTCTTTTTTTTTTTTTTTTAAGTGTTGGCGACGCATGTTAACTGTTTACTAAGTCAAAATCCAAGACAATACATGGCTTTAATTTAAATTGTTTTAGCGCTAAAAAAAAAAATTAACATTTAGGATGTTTCTTAATATTGTTAGTGTCTGTGTGTATACAACATTGACAACGTGGCGCGTCCAAAATGGCGCGCAGTGTCCTCACCCAGCGTTTTGCACAGATGGCTCTGTAGTGAAAATGGCGGGTGAGCCTCCCACTTCTCCGCCGTGACTCACCATGGTGGGCGGAGTTACCGTCCAGTTCATGACCAAATTAGGAAATGTTATTCCCCGGTACAGGGCTGAGTACTTCCCCGTCGACGCTGCTTTGACGCTCAGAGGAAGACTTGTCCAAATTTAGCCTCCCCGCCCCTCCCCCTGTGCAAACAGCTTTGACGTCCTGAGCACACACTCGTGGGAAAGCTGTATTGTTAACATGTAGGTAATTAGTCAGTGAATGTGTTCTTATTCCAGCGAGTGTGGAAACTATAGTGATATTTCCACTTAATCAGTTCCAGTTTGCTTTTTTTAAATGTGTTGTCAACCATGGATTACATTGATATACGTTTTGTATATTAACTTTCGATGGACAGCCTTTTCATATTTATAACTATGGCTCTTGAATTGGTTGAAGTATTCACCTGTGGTGGACATTAAGTTGTTACTGACAGACTCTTAAAATGCTTCCCCCCCCTATTGTGCCAAACAATGAATCTGCATGTGATTCAAGTGTCCTCACAGTAACATGTCTTATATTGGTGTCCCCCATGCAGGTCTCTCTCGGCAACCACCCTCAGCTCTGCTGCCGTCGACAGCACAACCGAACCTCTCGACTTAACGTCATCAGACTCCTCTTTGTTATTATTCACCTTTTCACAACAACCACTGACCAGCAGCTGCCATGACACTCTCCCAGCTCGTGTTGGAGGACGTGGAGGCCCTGTACTTAGGTTGGTGATGTGACAATGACACATGTTCCCACTCGAAACATACTGAGTGACCAAGCACTGAGATGGAAATCGCTTAAGATTTTCACAAAATATTGGAAATAAAACTAAAACCTATCAACATAATCTATCATTTGTCTATTCAATATAGATTAATACTTTGTCACACAATTTGCTTTGAGGATTATCAAATTTACTGAAGCCTAAATTCTAAGTGATGATTTGTGTAGCATCAAATCCCTTGTCAAAAATCAGGGCTGTAATTTAAAACAGATTTTATAATTTGTGTAAAAAGATGTGCTTAAAGCCAATATCCTTTTCCACAGGGCCCTCATTTCTGATGGCTGACCCCATGGGGCCCCTTCTGGACCAAGATGATGAAGCTCTTTCTCCCTCTTCCTCTCTAGAGGGGAAGGCACCAGCTTCACCCCTCTCTTCCTCCTTCTCCTTAGATTCTTCCCAGTCTCCTTATCAGACCCTGTCGTCCTCACCACTCTCTTCTGCCTCCCCACCTCTTACTCCCTCACATACCTCTTTTCATGGAACCAAGGACGTATCAGACTCTTTGTCTTTCCCCTGGCTGAATACCAGCGACCTGCTTGATGCCCATGTAGGAGCAGACGATGGCAAAGGTGAGTGGGGATATGAATATCCTTTAAAAAATATTTAAGATACATTAAAAAAATTGAGGGAAAAAATCATTCTCTAGGAAGTAATCAGTGAAAACAATTATTTCGGACCAAATATCAATGAATAAAAATGATCTTTGTCAACAGATGATGCTTTTGAGGGTATGGACTGGATGTCAGAAAAAATTGATCTGAGTGAATTTGACCTGGATTCCCTTATTGGCTCCTGCACATCAGATGAGTCCCCCAACTCCCCAGAGGATCTCTTGGCCTCACTTGACTCCCACATAGATCTGGATCTAGACTCCTTTGACACAACCATCCCTGTTCTGAACAACAGCCTCAAGCTGTCACTGCCCAGCATCCCCGCTCTTCCACTTGAGCTCTCCTTTCCTGGGGCTACTGAGGCCAACAAGACAGAGATTGTTCCTGAGCAGGAGGTTGTCATGAAGTCTGAGCCTCCCTCCCCCATCCCCTCCTCTTCGGTCTACACATTGGAGCTTGGAAGTGAAGTTGATGTCCTGGATGCAGAGAAAATAGCAACATCCATCACAGCCACCATCATTCCAGATCCCAATGGAAGCATTCAGACCAGCAGCCCCATTGTGCTTTCCCTTCCCTCATCTGGGCACATTGTGGTGGTGCTCACCAAGAAAGAAGAGCCCTCCCTCATTGCCCTCTCTGACCAGTCCATCATAGTCTCACCTCCATTGAGTGATAGCGACAGCGACTCTGGTATCGAATCTGGGTCCAGCTCACCTTCTCGCCTCCCCTCACTGCAACCAACCCTCTCTCAATCAGCTGGTTCGTCCCGGACTAAACCCTACTCAAAACCAGAGCCCCCTGCGACTTCCTCTCCCAAGGTCAAATCAGTGTCTGGCGCTCCGAAGGTGGAGAAGAAGGTAAAAAAGATGGAGCAGAACAAGACAGCTGCCACTCGCTACAGACAAAAGAAGAGGGTGGAGCATGAGCTGCTGGGCACAGAGATGGAAGAGCTGGAGAAGAGGAACCAGGAGTTGACAGAGAAGGCGGAGTCCATCAGCCGAGAAATTCAGTACTTGAAAGATCTGATGGAAGAAGTACGTAAGCACCGACGGGGAAAGACCAGTTCAGTGGCGCAGTAACCAGAGCGTGTTTGGCACAAAGTAATAATGGCATTACAATTCTACTCTAATGCACGTTTGTCTTTTCAATTTGTTTTAAGAGTAGAATGAGAAACTGGCCCCTGAACAGAAAATAGGGAATAGCTGGATGAAGAGAAAAGCCTCTGAAAGTTGAGATTATTAGTGTAGAGCAGGGGGCTGGGAGGTAGTCAGGTGAAGCATCTGTACATGCTTGTCTCTCAGTCCCCTGTTAGATCCCCATAATGAACTAACTTTTAAACTAGCAGTACTTGTTCCAAAGGAAATGTAGCATATTTGTAGACTAGGCATGATAATCACTGTAACTCCTAGTGGTAATGTAGACCTAAATCCTTACAAAAAAGTATTCCTCACACTCCAGCATCTTGGAAGACTGTTTACCACAGCTCAGTTGAAATAAAATAAAAGTCCTTCATAAGTCAAGTGATATATGACTTTTACCCTGGTTACCCAACCCCCTTTAACCCTTTGTCACCCAATTTCTAACTTCCTCTTGACAGCTTCATGACCAGAAAGGGGCCTCTGCTTATTTATGAATTCTTGATGTTACACTGTCTTCATGGATGTTTTTGTGTATATAGTTTTCTCCTCCTTTGCTTCGCCGATTGTGGCTTTCGTTATTTAATGCTGGATAAACCTGATAGTGGCTCTAGTCGCTCAGTCTCTTAATGCACCTGGCTTGTAAAAAGCTCTTTTTCTTTTCTAATAAATATCTATCTGTACTCAAGGAACTTGTGTTGTCTTTACTTATGGTAAGAAAACTAGTTAAACTAAAGTATTTGGTGTTGTGTGAAAAACTGGAAAATACTTCAAGGCTATACCTTGCTCTTAAATTATTAATTTATTCCATAAATAAATTGTTTTTACAACCTAGGGTGAGGTCTTCACATTCCTTTAATTTGAACAGTTTAAAAAAAAAAGAAAGATGTCCATCTTGTATAATTAAGACTTCTAACTATTTTTTTATCAATAAAGTTATACTATAAATGCAATAATCTGGACATGAAAGTAACATGTGTTACTGGATGTTAGAAATAAATTATAACTTAATCCTGTGTTGATTTGACCAGTATTCTACAAATGATAAATGGACTGAATCATAAAAAAGTCCATGTGATTACCTTTATTCAAAATAACACCCTTTTAGTTACATTCCTGTGTGAGTTATGACAGATTTGTAATAAGGAATGTTTTGGATGTGTAATTGTGTACAGTATATCATGTAGACATGATAAAGCAGTTCTACAGTTTCACGTGATAGAAAAAATATTTAGGATAGAAAGGTTACTCAGTCCAGCATGACAAAACAATGACACAATCATACATATGTAATTATTAAAACATTTAAATAGAGAAATGTCATGGAGATCAAATTCAAGGAAATCCTGCTGTACTGGTATTGTGCCCAGAAGAGGTGAAATTCTCTCACGAGTCATGTTTGAGTCATAACAGTTACTCTGAAAGGTGTGTTTGCTGTGATTAAGGGTGTGAACTCCCAGGTTTGACCTACATAGACCAAAGCTACCTGAACAAACTCAAAACGTTTGAAGAAAATGTTGGGCACAATTCCGATTGATTTAGCTTGGCAAACTCAAACCATGATGTTCATTCAGTCTGTGGTTCAAGCTGGAAAAGTTTCTGCAAGAAAAAGCTGAGGCCCCCTGTCATTGCCTGGAGCTTTTCTACAGCTTTCTATCAGGAAATGAGAGACAAGGAGGAAGAAAGAAGAGAAACATCTGTGCAAATGTTTTATGGGACGAACCTTGTAATTGTGGAACCAGACCATTCTCAGCAGTTTCTCACATTTTACAAGTGGGTGTCGAAGAAAGGGGGTTGGAAAGAGAGTCAATATGGGGAGTTGAGCAAACCTTGAGAACCACAGGTGTGTCAGCCACCCTTTGTTTAGTCACACTTTGAGATATGAGAGCAGTTGAAAGACAGTTGGTATATCTGGTTACAAAACTGGCAAAAGTCCCTATAGTTTCTGTCCTAATTGGGATTTTGTTAAGTTTAGAACTGCAAATAACTTTTTACATTGTTCACTACTTCAGTCGATCAGTGTTCCGTAGAGCCCAAGTTGATGGTGTCAAATGATTTTTTTTGTTTTGAACTCAAAGATAATCAATCACTGTTTTAGAGGAGGAAGAAGCATTTAAATTATTCAAATAATATAATATATTCAAATGTTTGTTTTTAAATATGAAATCAGATCAGTTTAACAGTTTTATTATTTAATTCATCGCTAAACAAAACATCTGTCAATTAACTGAACAGTTGACACCTTAGAATTGTATTGTTGCAGCTCTACTTTATGTAAAGATTGGGTATTATTAAATGTGAGGTACAGTATGTAGGAGTGAAAATGAGTCAAAGTTACAGTATGTGGCTCAGACTCGACTCAGTGTGCTGACTACTGTCAAACAGCTGCATCGGTTTTCTCTTGGCAGCACTCCTCTGACAGAATCCTCAGTAGTGAGACCTTGCACTCCTTAGAGGACAAAGATAAGTAGAGCTGAAAGCAGAGAGGAATATATAATACAGACTTCTTTAGTATGACTTTGATATGTAGCTTGTCCAGTTGGTTTTAAGTGAACCTAAAATAATGCATGCATTCAAAATGTTGCTTTCTCATCGTCTTGATTCCTATTTTAGTCACATAAAAATGATCTTATGACACTAACACAGATATTTCTGACTAGTGAGGGCTAATGCCCAATGGAGTCTTCTTTTTCAGGTAATAAGATAAGTGTCCAATAATTCCCAATGATTGACATCTTGTCCGGCATGATCCTGCTTCAACTGTTGTCACTTACACAAGATAAAAATCAGACCATGAATTCATGTTTTCACACATTTCTGCAATCAACATCTAGAGATTTGTTGACAAGCCAAAAACTCTGCATACCTTGAATCACCCGATGCGTTGACTTTAAACAGAAACAATTATCATTAAATACAAGGTTTCTTATACAATAAAAATGTTTGTCACCCATAGACACAACTTGGCAACAGGAAATACTGTAGTCTGCTTAGCTCATAGAATTCTTTGGCTCAGCTGTGAGCCAGGAAGCTAACTGCATGCTAGCAAGATTCAGTTAAAACATTTTTGTATGGTTCTTGTGTTGAAAAACAAGACTGGACAGCATTCCAAATATGTCACCTTTTTTAGATTAAAACACTGCCTTCTCCACTTCTTACAGTCTTAGGAGTCTGAAGTTATCGGTTGACAAGTTAAACCATAACTTAATAGATCTTTCTATAATAAAGTGTGATGGAGCTGTATGGCCACAGAGACGAGTCGATGTGAACTCTTATAGATTTTATATTCCTTCATGGGGATATTTTCCACTTTTTGCTTTTTTTTAACAACAGCACCACGGGGTGAATCCCTTAGAATATTCATACAGCACTCCCCTTGACAGACCTGCACTTCTGTGTGTGTTGGCCAATATAAATTTCAATACGGACTAAAAAAAAGTAGAATGGAGCATATTAATAGCTTGTGTCCTTAGTATAGCAAAATAACCACCATAATAAAAGTGGGAGGGGGGATGGTGGAAGACCCAAGTTTATCGATCACGTGTCTTAAAAATATGTAGAGCTTGTGTCAGAGATCACTGTCATTCCCATGAGACGTTACCTTAAGCATTTGGGGTGAGGTTAACTTGCGCGTGCAGTCCAATGTTACAATGTTACAATTCACTTAGCAGATGCTTTTATCCAAAGCGACGTAGATCATAGAGTAGGTACAACACTAATCCATTCATACACCGCCACAGTAGCAATGCAGGATTAAGTGTCTTGCCCAAGGACACATTGGACATGATGCTCAGCTGGGGATTGAATCCTCAACCTTTAGGTCGAGCGGCAACGACTCTACCAACTGAGTCACAGCCGCCCCAGCAGTCCAGTTACTGTAAAATAAATTCAAACATGATTTACTACAAGTTTGAAATAAATCAAAGATTACTGAGTGTAAAGTAAGTGATTCACAGAGATGATAGATTCAAAGAAACGTCTTTTCAACCACATGAGCAGATCATGGGTGTGGTGTCTCCAAACTAAGCATCACAGATTATTCTTGTCTTGTCACATTCCTCTGTGGTCAGGAGTAGTAATCAAGATCATGGCGGTTTCATCCAGTTCACTTATTCAGTGACGTGCGTCAATGCGTTTAATGGTTTCCTCATGCAATTTAACATAGACTGTCACAGCAGAATCTGTTGATGTCTCAATGTAATCATGTGTCTCATTTCATGAGATTTGTATGACTGAGTTGGTCTGAAGTAAAGCCTCCAATAACATGCACACACAACATGCAGTCAGAAAGTTCAGAAAGTTTCAGAAAGGTCAGAAAGTTTCCCAGGAGAAGCCTCTGTGACTGTGTGAGGCCAGGCAATGATGCATGAGACACAGGATTTTAACACTCTTGACATGATATCAATTTGTTTTTGTATTACAAACTTTACTAAATGGTAAATTACTTAATTTACTTAATCATGAATTGACCCTTTACATGGTCCTTTTATGCTAATATGTCTATTGTTACAAAGCTATTTTATGATGAATGCAATCAAAAAGATTACATCGAATGTCTCCCTAACGCTATGCTTTAATATAACAGAAAACTAAATGAAGCCAAGGAGAATGTATGAGGATTTATAAAACAGCTGCAGTGCTAAAATAATCCCACTACTGTTACACTGAAGTCTAACAGACTAAGTGTCTCTTTTCTATATTGTTCTCGTGAATTATAGTAAAGCAAGATTTACTTTTACAAAGGACGGTCCAATGTTTCTTGTTGTTAAGGGAGATAAGAAAGGAAATTCTGAAGCACATTTATTTAGAACTGGACTGGCTCTTATCATTGCTGCCAAATCAATATCCAGTCAAGGACCGTAACAGGTAGAAGAATCATGAACCCACAGACAAGTCAGTGGTCAGGTAGGCAGTGAAAGGCAGGTAAACAAGGCAAATGCAAACTAGATTGGCAAAGATAGCATGCAATTGGGCTGGGATATAACCTGCTGTACTTACTAGGGAAATGGGGGAACAGGTGTTGCAGAGATGGTTAGGCCAATGACAGGGAAGGAGTTACTGTAGGGCAAGAGGAAGTGGTTGGGTCGGTTATGACAAAGAGTTGTTTAAGGACAGGTTATAAACAGGTTATTGAGTTAATAATTATCTGGATGAAGTCAAAAGAAGGAAGTCTTTGTTCATAGGGTCTTTGATTAGCACAAGGAACTAGATAAGGGTAGGGATTATCAAGATTTACCTCACACTAATCAAACTATAAAGAAATACTCTGAAGACTAGACTTGATCATTGCTTCATGAAAGCAAGATTTAAAACAGGACTCTTGCATTGATAACCAGTAATTGTATCCAGGAGCCAACCCCATAAAATAGTTTAAAAAGATGAATGGATTTTCAAATGTTCAAAGGTAAGAGCATTGTGCAGTTAAATGCTGAAGTGCAGTCTGTTCCACGGTACAACTGAAATGGCTGTTGAGGCTATCACTGGCTTTATTTCAAATTACATGAGAGTACATGACTTAATAGCATTTGGCTAGCCAAGGACTGTAACCTAATAAGGCTTCGAGGCTATTCATAGTTTGTCTACTGTATGTCCATGATAGCAAAGCAATCTGACACACTATTCCGACGCTGCACTGTTCACAGGTCTATTCCCAGCTAATTTAAACTCTCACACATGCAGAACTTGTGAAGGATAAATAGGATAAGCTAATATTATAATTGTGATACATTATGGAGTCAACTTGGAGTTAAAGCAGGCCCAACCTTGTAATTTATGGGACTTGAGATCTCCTATTTATAGATTAGAAACCAAGCATTAAATTAGGCTGTGTGGTTTATCCTGATTTGTTAAAGGAAGTGTTGGCATATCTACGCTACACAGCAAAGTGTACAGGGCTACAGTATTTCTCACTGTTAATTTGCATTAGAAAGTTCCCCTACCAAAACTACTTCAACTTTTAATAAACGCAGAAATACCAGGTCTGTTAGTTGTAATTTCTTGCATATTTACTGATTTTGTTTGTCTTTGTACCATCTTTCATTAAAAACTATTCCCCATAGCTTATTTTAAACCAATGTTTGTTTTAGCTGTGAAAACACCCAAGATATCTCCCAAGACTAACCCATCAGACATGGACCTGTCACACATGTCACACATGTCCCACACTGAGGGAGGTGGTCTAACCTGCTCTCATAGTTGCAGAGGAACTCAGCTAAACGTGAATGACGTCTTCACACCATCCCTTTTGTTATTTGAATGTTGGCATGAAATAAACCGCTTAAAGTTCAAGTGAACAGATCCTGACATTTTTTTTAAATAAAAATACCCAATCCAGAGGATGTAAGGACATTTTTGGGAAAGTAGTGCATTATGTGTAAAGGGTTATAAAGATGTGATTCAGGGACTTTCCCCTCCATGATTTCTCAAAAGCAATGTTTAGCATTTTTGTATTTTTTCCAGCAAATTATCAGATTTTAAAGATTCTTGCACAAAGCCATGGTGTTTATTAAACCAAAATTAAACTAGCTAGTTGTTCATCTCAGGGAATTTAAAATAATTTTAAAGTGGGAAAAAGTATTTAAAAAGCATGAAAAGTTAGAATCTGTATGAGAAAGCACCATAATACTTATTCTGTCTATAATGGATAACAGACAATGGCTTGGTTACAGGAGCAAATCCACATCAGCTGCAGGCGTGAAACATCACAGCTCCTTTTTTTGTCAACATGACCTGGAAAAAGCTGGATATACTCTTATTAAGGGCATGTGGCTCAGGCATTAAAGAGACCTTTAACATGGTACATGTGCAGGTTGTTAGCTAGAGTCAAACAGAGACACAGAAATGCCACTCATCTGGATTTCTTTAACCCTTACATGACCCTATTGGAAGTATGCAAAATATTCAGTGGGCTTTTTCAGTTTCATTAATAACAAGTCAGGGTTTGTGGTTACTGTTGGACATCTGGGCTTGATTAGTGCGTAATAGTGTTACATAATCTCCTACATTTTTTTTCCACTTTAAACCTCTCTCCCTCACCACTAAAAAAGTAAAAACAAGAGATATATGGAGAAGTAATTTTGTGTATCGTTTTGTTGCTGTAAATTAATCCTTTTTGTGAAGCCTAACTGCTCTTTGTTTTGGGTAAATGTTACTATTTTCTTATCAATGCTTTAAACGCAAAACTGTGATTGTGAAGGCAGTGCAACTGCTCTCTTGGCCTGTGTCCACTAACAACCTGACTTTCACACTGACATCATATACCGTTGCAAAGTCAGGAAAGCTGTCACATGGCACTTCTGCTTCCCTTGGTATAGTGACCATTAAGTCTGATCAAAATAACTCAGTGATTCTATTAAAGGAAATTTGACAAAGAAAGCAAAAAACAACAGATGAGCAGTAGCCTTAGACCTGTTAATTGTATCCTTGAAAAAACTAGTCTTGGTGCATAATATTATGGTATACAACGGCTATGATCCAATGCCAAAATTTACCTTAAAAAATGTGACCAGCTGCCTTCAAATAGTCTTATATTGACAGTTAATTTTACAATAATTTAGAGGTGCTAACACCAGACACATAGTTCAAACTGTAAAAGGTGAACTAGAGAAATATATCTAGGTATTTCTGTAGTGCCCCCGTAACTTTCACCCAGGGTGACCCTCTCCCCTCTTGCAGGGTGAATCATCGTGCTGGTCTTCAGCGAGACGCTCCGCAGAGGATCTCTGAGCAGCTGAGCTCATTACCGAGGTCATGGGCTTCAGATTAAGAAGACAGATTTACTCTCAGAAAGTGGGACGACACATTTATTCACTATGACCCACTGTCAGTCTTGAACACCAAAATAACTTATTTTGTCATGTATTGGATGTAATGAAACAAAAACATTTCTCTGCACATGTTTAAGAGTAAATGCCAAGGGAGTTGTCCGTTTGTTTAAGGTGATGAATAAAGTTTTATTTTCTAGTGTTGACATTTATGGCTGACCTACACTTTTAAATCAATTGAGGACAAGCAAAAACACATCCCCCCCTCTTTATCATAATGTTCCTTTTTATTGATCTCTGATTTATCAAAATAATTTCATTAGGACATGTTCAGGTGTGAGTGGGCAGTGTGGTGCTTGTTTTTCTATCTTTGTGAGGACTAATGAGCTATTTAAGAATGAGGAAATGTCTGACAAATGGGGGATTTGTCCTGTCTTCACTACCTCAAATGACCGTTCAGTTGCTAATTTAGACTTCTTTTTGGGGGTCAAGATTTAAATCATGTCAAGAGGAAATTCTAGTATGACTTGTTGTTTAAAAAGCAAGGTATACATTATGTCAATGAGAGGACTCCGTATTAAAGTAGTGTGCATGTGTGTATGAGTGTGTTTGACTCGTGTCAGGGTATCGTAAATGAGAAATGGGCGGGGAAAGACGAGAAGGATGTTCACAATGTGGACATATTTCAGTCGAGTTTCTGCAGAAGAGGAAGTGAGTAATACCGGTGGACAAACTAGAGATAAGAAGGTTTCTCTGTGGCGAAACTGGAAATCTGATAAGATGATGATGACTAACGAAAATTAGAACGAATCAAAAGGTTTTATTTCCGAAATTACCGGTATGTTTAATTTCATTGCCATTTCGCTATTCTACCAGTAAGCAACTCCCTCGCGTTCGTCTGCAGGTCAGTAGCGCCCCCTACTGTTACTTCTTCAAACTGCAGCAAATGTTATAACCCATTGTCTGAATGTCGCATGACGCTGTGAGGGAAACTTAGTCTATGGTGTGAACAGGTCACAGGACTTCTTACTGGTCTACAGGTCAAAGTCACCCTGAGAAAAATGAGTGAACGTGGCCCTGTTTATTTGTTCATATTAGTTCACTTGATTGTTTTTATTCAGTCTTATTTATATTTACATATTTTTGAGGCTATTTTTAGAGCACATATGATTACATATAGCCTATATATTTTTTCTGTGTACTACAAATGTCTTAACACAATATCACAGTTGGTCTTAACACTAATAGTAGACAAGCAAGCATTCTGTGAGGAATTTTTTAAGTTAGTTTTGACTTTGTTATAACAAAGATTTTTTTGTTTTTTGTTGTACATGTTTTTATTTTATTCAAAAAGACCAACCTGGCTCTTTCAACAATCAAATGTGTCATTTATTGAGAATCTTTGCTGTGGAAAAAAAGTAAAGCAGGTGATCACTTTGTCCCCTGGCAGCGTCTTCAGACATTGATAAAAACAATATAGCCTAGCATCAATATTGTCTCTGATGACCAACCCTTTGCCTTTGAAGGTCATAAAGAGAAAATATTCATTTAAGTCTGTCTCCTAACCAGATACAAACTTTGAACAGAAGCTTTAAATGAAATATTAGGGAATAGCCCTAGCCATACAGGAGGTAATTTAAAGTAGGCTACACAATGGAAAGTATTTCATAGCCTATAACTTTAGGTAGGCCCTATACTAGATGGAATCAAAAACATTGCCTTTTTTTAGATTACAAGAAATTTGCCTTTAAAACTTTATTAACTAATTGGCATAACAGATTTTGCTGAGAAACATGGTATCCCTACTGATCCAATCTGTATTAGTCCAGCAGATGGTGGCATTGCACGATTACACTCGTTTTCCAAACATCAACAGAGGGTCAAGTGAGTGAAAGAAGTACAGTAGTAGAAAGTGTTGAGGAAGGGGTAGCCAGGTGTGAGAGACATGAGTGTTTTACTGCATGGATGTAGGTTAACTGAGCATAAAGTCATTTTAAATGCCTCCATGTCGCTTATGTTTGCACTGACGGATGTGTACGCGTGGAAAGCGGAAACGACCGTGTTGAATTGTGTTGCTGTGTGTGCTTATTGAACTACTCGAGGAGGAGCAGAGAGAAGCGACACTTCATGCTTAACTTTATGCTGATCGCAAGATTTATTAGCAAAAGGTAAGTAGGCCTAAGCTCAATGTGTGTGAATCATTAACATTAAGGGTATGCTACCAAATGCTCATTGCTCGAAGTTATCTGTCCAGTTATTGTTAAACCAAACTCCATTTTAAAATCAGGTGTTTGACAGCAAATTATTATTTTTCACAGTGAAAACGTAGTTTAAAATTAAAAAGACTGTTGTCTTAATCGCTTTGATGTAAAGTAAAATTCGGCATTCGTCATTAACTTTGATGCCTCGAAGTCACATGAGCAAAATAAGAAGTAACACAAAACCTTTTTTTTGTTGTTTACATTTAGACTATTTTAAAGAACATTTGTGGCGTTCATCTGCTCGACTTTGGGACACAATAGTCCTGAAGTAAACAGTTATTAACTCGAGTTAACAAGTCACAAAGTTGCCTTTTTTTTTCCAGCTGTCTTTGTGATTGGCTCGCTCTTGACGTCCATCATCAGCGTCACGTGGTAGTGATGTGGCTTATACGTGTGCTCTAAAATATTAAACTTTAAGTCGTTATATGTCCTATTTGGTTAAAAGAGATATGCTTATAAAAGTAAACGATTTTTTTTTTCTTTGATCTACAATTAATTATGGTAGTTGTTAGTTAAAGTAGCAACACTGTAAAAATATTACTATCAAAAGATTTGTACTTAGAGTTTTACTGTAATCTCACTCATGCTCTTCCACTACAGAATGTCCTTCACTCTTCCCCGTCATGTCATCTGGGAGTCGGAGGGTCTGTTGGCCTACCTCCATCCCCGGCCCTGGACCCCAGGATCTGTTGTTCTGGAGAGCAGCACCCCTGGCAGCCTTGGAGGCAGCATCTTCCACCTGGAGAAGCAGGAATTATTAGCCTGGCTGCTGGGGGCGAGAACTGTTGCAGAGCTACTGTGTGACAGACTGGCAGTAAGAAGGTGTGCGTTAGTCAGTAGACCCCGCAGAGACAGACCGGCGCAGGTGAGAGTTGTATGGCCTGAGGATATTCTGGCTGTTCGTTATTTTCAGTCCATGGAAAGCAAAAGAATAATAAGTCTGATAGAAAATAATGTGCTGTATTTGTTTTGATGCTGAGCAGTCAAGCATTTGCTAAATGTTAGTCCTGTACTCATGTGAGAGCCTCAAAAGCAATTACTAGAGTTATTCCCTGGTGGTAAAACCAGTGATTGTATTAGGATTTGTAACTACAATCCCATGAGTCTGAGCAGCAAATGTGCTCCGAGCGCCTGGTGGGAGGCATTATTAACAATTATAGTTCTTGTGGGGATGAAAATATAAGCTTATTAATTCCAAGGTTTAAAGTATAAATAAAAAATAATTTTGAAATTATAAATGAAAAAACATGTAGACGTTTAGTTTGAACCTTTCATTTTTTGTAAATCATTTCAAATGGTTAGGTGTTAAGTTGGGAACAAAAAGCAGCAAATGCTTAAGCTTTGTCATTTTGAACAACTAAATACACATTTATTACAATTCTTCAGATCCTTGTCCTCCCTCTACATGGCCTTGATGCAGACTGGCGCCCTCACCTGGCCGGAGAAGAGGAGCACAATGCTCAGGACCCTGGATACTGCACCTCAAAGACAGCTCCCCGATGGAGTGACTCCAGCTTGTCAGACATTCAAGCTAAGATTAGAGCCAAACTCCCACTACCTGACGCTCCACACAATCTGACTTTCCTTGGGGATGATCCAGCTCACCCTGGTCTGTTTTCACGCATCGTTCGTGGGGAGGAGCAGCAATGGCGGGTGTGGGACGACGAAAGCCATGTTGCCTTTTTGACTCCTTTTCCAAATTCTCCGGGTTTTACTGTACTGGTCCCACGACGGCCATTGACCTCAGATATATTCAGGCTAGAAAAGGGGACTATGAGAAGCTGGTACTGGCGACCCTGAAGGTGTCAAAGCTTCTGGAGGAGGGTTTAGGTGCCTTTGGAGTGGGCCTTATTTTTGAGGGTTTTGAGATTGACTACGCCCACGCCAAGTTGATACCACTGTTTCTACCTCCATCAGGGACAGGAGATGTCAGCAATAAATCATCACTTCCTGAGTTTTACCAAACGTACCCTGGATATGTGACGTCAGAAGATGGACCTATGGCCAGCCAAGAATGTCTGAAGGAACTCCAAATGAAAATTACTCGGACCTAAGGCTTATACCTACAGCTCAATAGTAAAAGGAATCCCTCTCTGCTTTAAGTGAGAAGAAGAAGTATGTAAACTAAACATACAGCTACTATTGCAAAGGCTACAGGCTGTAAAGGTTTGCATGAATAACCTTAACTTAATAATACAAATATTATAAATAAACTGCACGGTACATTTAAGACTGACATAAACCTTTGGAAATGTTCCTTAAATTTAAATTGATCATATATTCAAAGAACCTGAATACAATAAGGATAGACAGCTGTCTTTTTTTAATTTATTAACAAAGTAAATTGTAACTAAAAATATTAAAATTCATGTAAGGACGTTATATCATCATTCTTTCCCTCTTCAATTATCGGAAACATCAGGATTCTTTACACATTCATTTGGAATTAAATGTGAACGGAATAAAGCCCAATCATTTTTTTCATTCTTTGACAAAATGAAGCTTTACTTTAGGGTAAAATTCAGTTTGTATAATCAGCATTAATGACAAAGTTCCCTCGTGGAGTAAAATAATGAAGACCTTATGAAATCATAAAGATGTCACAGTCTTTATCTGTTGTTGATGAACGTTGCACTCAAACCGAAGTTTAATTAAAACTGAAAATGGAAAGGAAAACCACAGACATGAATTACATCAAAGCATTTTCACTTGAACACCACTTGTTTCTTAAATGTTGTTACTCTAGTGGATACAATTCTAATCTTGAAATTTTCCAAATGTAATTCCCTCAAAATAAAAGCAGTTACAATGTAATGCAATCATTAAACTCCCTGTTTGTGTTCCTTTATTAATTGCAGTGTGTTTTGTACTTAGTTAACCAATCACACAATCTGCAGGCTCACTCATTACATTGACGCTAATTGGTCCCAAAGTGGATTCTTAATTATGAGGCTTAATTAATGACTTGCTAAGTGCTAAATCAGTGCTCTCTAAACCCGATTCACCCCAAGGCTTTCATTAAAAGGGACACAAATAGGCCTCTGTGTTTTTGAAGGGGGTTTTTAACAGTGGTCGCCATGGCAGCTAAAGAGAACAAACTCAACTCTTCACAGGAACTATCTCCCAGTGTTTACACCATATACATGTCTTTTCAATTCAACAAGGAAACATTATTTTTTTCTTACTCTAAACTTGTTCTGTGATTTTATTGGATGTACTGAACAGACATTTAAAAGTGTACTGCGTTAGAAATGTTTGCTATCATATTGTGTAATACATAACAAGGTTGCAGCTTTTATTACATATTTACACACCTTCATTTCTTATCTCTTACACTTATTATCCCCAACGTGAAACAAGATGACGCTCTCTGCTTTTGGATAAGTGTCCTAACAATGGATTTAGAAACTGTCAAGTTAAATTTTCTTTGTAAACACAAACGGAATAACCTATAGGTTTATAAAAACACTACACTAGATAAGAACTAATGATAAAGCTGACAGGTAATGTTTAGCTTCAGCTTAGGCTACACTTTAGCTATCTCATGAGCTAGATGATTTAGTTGTGACGGAAATGGTAATTATGGTAATGGTAATTCATTTGCGGCTTTCACATAAATTCAACATTTCTTTCTCACAGTTAAACAAATGACAAAAAGATGATACTCTCACTCAATAGTCAATCAATTATGAAGTTATTGTGATAAGGCTTTGCAGTGCACATCTCTTAAGTTATACAGGGTAAGAACCTGAGCATATCCATTTTTTTTTTAACAAGACTAATTTGATTCAGATGAGGCTTAATCACACCATGTCATCCTGAGGCTTCTTAGAAACGCTCTGTGCACAGCACCTGCCTTCCACACGCTCCATCTTTGTGATGTAGAGGAGAGGTTCAACGCTGCAGCTCAGATCCATGATGGCGAACACGCTGATGCTGATCTGGCAGCGGAATTGCAAGAACGTGTAGTAGGGCACAAAGGGCATAAGAGCCACAGGGGGCAGGTAGTTGGCTACGATGATGCCGAGGATGATCAGAACCATCTTGAAGGCCTTCTTCTTCACTGGGTGCATCTCCTCCTTTCCTGCCACAGAGCGTCTAAGGACCCAGATAACAGAGATGTTGCAGAAGACCATGACCGCAAAGGAAAAGAGGATGACACCACTGAAGACCTCGTTGACACTCATGACTCCTAGGAAGCACTTGGTGAAGCCGTAAGCTAGAATGAAGCCCCAGACCACAACAGATATACCAATGCGGATCTTATTGTCTCGTATTCCACTGAAGAGTACAGGGTGGACCACAGCCATGTAGCGGTCTAGGCAAATACACACCTGGAACAGCAGATCCATTAAGGCATGTTAGAGTATAGAAATGTTTTTAAGTAAGAGGTGAGACAATCTGTTTGAGTTTGTGTGGAGGGAGAGAGTTACATTTGACTACAGATGTGATGTACTCAACAAAACAGTTTCAAATATTCTCAAGATGTTAACTGACCTGATGTCATTTAACAATATGTCTGAAATTAACTATTATATTGTTTGTGACTTGAAAAGGGGTTGAAAAACAAAACAAATAATTTATTTTATTTAAGACTTTTTGGGCCTCAAAGGACCCGGTATTATATGGGCAACAGGTAAAAAAGGATAGACATCAAGCATTGATCAATCTGCTGTACTGTATGTTAAAATGTGGAAAAACTCACAAGAAAGAGTGGAGCTACATCTTTGATCCCGTAGGCGAACCGCTGAGAGTACCAAATGCGGCTGTCATCCAGTAGTAGCCTGTTCGTCATCTCTATTGGTGTCATCAGACCGAAGTATGCGTCGAGAATGGCCAGGTTGAAGATGAAGATGTCACAGGTGGAGGCGTCGCTTTTCCTGGTGGCAATCTGCCAGATGACCAGGAAGTTACAAGGTGTCCCGACTGCCAGGTTAAACACCTTAACCCCGAAGTAGAAAATGAAGCCGTAAGGTGCAACTGCGCATACAGGGAACTGATACCATGGTGGAGTTCCACGGGGGTCACCAGGGCTGGTGGAGTTAACATAGAGGCCGGCAGATGGGCTGAGACTGGAGTTGAACATTGTGGAGAGGAATTTCTCTTTGAGGGAGAGGCTCGGATGCTAAGAGAAAGAAATTGGAGTAAAGGGTTAGTTATACTTATTCACATTTCAGTGACCCCTAAATAGGAAAACCCCCAGAAAACGTACTATTTATTCTTCAGTCACATATTAACACTCTCTTCAAAGAACCCCCACAAGGAACAACACCAGTCAAAAGCAGTAGAACCAGACTTCAGATAAAAACAAACGTACCTCAATACAATTCCTTGTGTCAGTCCTAGTCCTACAAACTTTCTTGCGCACAGCACATCATCTGTGCGGACAGAATCTTATAAAGACGCTCCACAGGGACTAATGCCATTGTTGGATTGGGCCCGTCTAAAAGGGCATTGTTTCTCTCTTGTTGTATGATTGGGTGTTAATGCAAGTAAGGGTTTCTGAAACATCTTGGCTGATTGGATGGTTTGGATATGAACAACAGGGAGGTTTTAGGTTTAGTTTGATAGGGTTGACCATTGTGTCCATGTATAGACATATTGTTATACATGCTGCATGAACAGAGATTTTCGCTTTCTTGTCATATTCTCTAGCGCTTAAGTCATTCATGTGTTAAGACGACCCTTTGCTTTTGAGGCGTCTATATTGTTAAACAACCTGCATGAAGACTAATAATGTCCGCACAATCCATTCAATTTCACTTTTGTTGTGTGGCACCAGTGTGTTGATACGCCTTTGCCTGGTTGTTGCATTATAAAGGCATGAGTCTTATAGTTTTGCACAGCTTCTGATGTGTTGATTCTTCTTCATTTCTGGAACCTGCAATGGCATCAAAAGGGTAATCTGACCCCAGGGTTGTTCTACAGCCCCGCAGCTGAACATTTGTTCTCACTGATGCAACTGTACACTTTCAGTAAACAGGTGATGCAAGGTCAGCATAAGTGAGAAATCTAATGCAAGGTGTTACTGATGTTCCCTTACTGTGGTAGGAGTTGAGAATACCCTGTTTAGAATACATGATTGCAATGTCATGACAAACACCCACTTACATTAGATATGTTGTGATGTTATTTTAAAATGTGTCATTGCATAACTGACTAGATGAGTGTCTATGATGTGTTTGGAAAAAGGTTGTATCTGTGTTACATAAATTTATGTTAGAGCTATGCAAAATCACTGATACATTTTATTATATGTAAATGCTGCATGAATGCAAACAGGTGTAGGTATACGCTGCGTGTGCAAATGCCATGAGAGAAAACGTCAGCATACAGTTCTATTTTTTTGCTATTTTAGTATTTTAATCCATCACCCAAACATTTGTCTTGACATTTAAAAAAATAAAAGATCAAATATTAAGGTGTTCATGTCATTTTTTTTTGTGGGAAAAATTCCAGATCAGCAGGACCACACAAGGTGTTAAGTTATTCTAAGGATAATAAGGTGTTACGAATATGTAAAGTTTATAAATAATAATAATGATTTGGTAGGGTTGAATTCACAAGAGGCTCTGAATGTGCAGAAGAAAACAAGCGTGTAGACAATATGTATGGCCAAAGACTATAAAAACATTCTGTGGCATAACTACTCATTTAACAACAGACACTATCAAAACAGAACTTCGCTAGCAATAACAATAATTGGTTTAACGCACGCCATTTAAGGGTATTTGCATCACGTTACCAAGCTAGACAGAGTGCACAAAAGAACACCTGCCATAAGATAAATACAATATGCAAAGTATAAAATAATGTTTTTTGGTGATTGTGTGCAAACATACAACACCAGGATAATACAGCAGGACACCAAGATTACTGTGCTGTGGGGAATAGACAGATCTGGGAGCTAGGTTGACATGAAATGTGCTTAAAAAATCTCACAGGGTAAGTGAATAAACATTACTATTTAATGCTCTACAGTAACTGAAAAAAAAATCTGAACAATGGTTATTTTGACATGGTACTACAAAAATAATTAGTGTACTTTTTTGCTGTTAGTAGTGGCCTTGCAAGCTTCAGGCTCTTGGTGAAGTTTATCCTGGACCTCTGATAGTACTTACTGGGACAGCTAATGGTAATTGTATCGGATACAACTAAGTTTTCTCAGAGGAAAGCGTAACAGAGATAACTGCTAACACTTTTGACACAACATATTTTTTTTAACGTGAGAACATGTCAGTGTTATGAAATTGCATCATTGGTTCATTTAAGTAAAGTTAAATATTTTCATCTTCTGATGCAATGCAAATGCACTCATAAATCCAATCTCCATAAAAAAAGAATTGTTGTGAAAATACCTGGTAAAGCATGACTTTATAGTAACCTATTTACAAATCTGCATCATTACATCATTACTTATTTGGCATCTTTTACATTTAAAGCCCAATCAGATTAAGTTCCGGAGAAGGCGGTGAGATCCACTGAGTGGTGTGAGCCTTGGGAGGGTGCTGAGAACCTAGACATAGAAGCTTTTGATTTACCGACATGTGAAGGTTGAATATTTTCAGGTTTTGTTTAACCTATGGGGATGATCACAAGCTTCGCCACAGGCTAACTTGCACTGGTAACATAACTCGGGCGGCTGTAGCTCATTGATTGGTCATCTCTCAGCCGGAAGGTCAGGGGTTCAATCCTCAGCTCCTGCATCCCCACATCGAAAGGGTCCCTCAGCAAGACATCACATCCCAAATTGCTCCAGCTGCTTTGTCAGCGGTGTATGAATGGATGTAGTTAATACTGATGGATACTTTCACCTAACAGCCACAGTGTCAATGTGTTGTGAATGGGTAGGTGTCACCTGCATTGGAAAAAGCGCTTTGAGTAGTCAGAAGACTAGAAAAGCGCTATGCAAGCTCAAGTCCATTTAAAAACACCTCTAATGTGAGTAGAAGTTGTTGATGTATCCTCTCTGTTCACAGATAATTCAGATATTGACAGCACCTTGACCTTTGGGTCAGCCAAAGTGATGGAAAATTTGAATGGCAGCAAAACCAGTAATCAGACCAACACAGAAGCAGATGTCAGTGTACTTATCTGGTACCTCCTGCCCACTGTATTAACAGTGCCAACACTGGGGTTACCAACCAATGTTCTGGTCTTACGCCTTTTGCTGGGCAAACCTGGTGTCTGCTCCACCTCAGAGATCTTCACACTCAACCTGGCAATTTTTGACTTTCTGTTCTGCATCACGGTGATCGTTGAGTTCAGCCGACTACTGTTGATTAAAACAATGGAGGCCTATAACTTCCTAGCTTGGGGTTTGAATCAAGCAGGAGGGCCATTGTTACTATGCATGTTGAGTTTGGACAGCTACATGGCTGTCTGCCATCCCCTGGTCTTCTTGCGGCTCAAAGATCCAAAACTGCGACTATTCTTGTGCCTGGGGACAAGTGTTTTAACTGTTGGATCTTGCGCTCTGGTGAAGCTCAAGTCGTCGTTCAAGTGGAAAGTCATTATGGTGCTTCAAAGCTGTGTCATAGTGATCATATCAACCTGCAACATCCTGATTCTCAAGTCCCTCCACCAAGCCGGGCCAGGCAAGAAGAAGGTTCATCCTGTGAAAAAGCGGGCATTCAAGGTGGTGCTGACTGCGTTTGTGCTGGTCAACATCCACTATATCCCCCCTGTTATTGAGTACCTGATTAGAGAGTTAGGTCCCGAAATTTTTAGGCCCTTTTCATTCCTCACCTGTGTGGCCTACATAGCTTTGTCCGTGAGCTGTTTCGTTCAGCCTCTGAGTTATCTTATCCGCACCAAACGACTACCCAAGATTAGATGTCTCTGTGGCTCAATTGCGGAGAAAGAAACAGTGGCAACTGTGGCAGCGTTGGTTTGACATGTAGAAACCAACATAAGGGAAGAGAGTGACTTCAAACAACCTGGGGACTTTAATCTTCATCCTATTCTGCCTTTTTTTTTTGCCATTGCTGCAGCTGTTTATGTGTTTGTTGAAGGAACCAAGGATGACAGCCGGAACTGATACAAGTTGTTCCTGGATTGCACATAAATCAAGTTGATTTTTTATAACTTTGAGTCAAAAAATGACTTTCAAAGCTATTCAAACTTGAAATTCCTAAACAACTTTTTTTTCTTTACCTCTTGAGTCTTAAATATGGTAATTTAAATCATTCTCATCTCTTATAGGCGGTTTATAAAACTAAGAATGAACCTCAATTTGTCCCAGACTTAAAATAAGCTGCTGCCTTAAATTGTTTAAAAATGTAGGTACAGTCATTGTGACTATTCCTACTTGAAGACTAGACAGACTTTCCCAATTTATCAAAATATTACTCTTTACTGGTACAAACAAGGGTTGTCACAGCTGCCAGATTGATCCTTGGACTATGGAAAAATACACCTGTACCTTAAAAACTGGATGAAATTTGTTAGAAATAGTATCATTTGAACAAATGTTAGTTACAATCAACAGAAAGGTGAGAATTTAAGCGGACATGGGACTACTGTCCTGCTAACAGCTTTGATGGGACTCTGTCAAATTTCTAAAACTACTGAATTTTTATTTTGGATGTCCCAATTGTGCACTTTAGCCTATCTCTTTAGATATTTTGTATCTCAAAATGATGATGCTGTCTGTATATCTTTAAATAAATGAAAACTTCGTATGAACATTCTTTGCAGTTTATAGTATGTATATATATATATTTTTTTACAATATTCTCTTTCATAAGTATGTCATCTTTAAGGACATATTTGAAAATATGACTTAATAAAACAATAAATGCAATGACACATTGTAATGCTTTATTTGGTCAATCAGACAAACATCTCAGTTTGACTCACAAATAGGCATTGCTATTATAAAACACTTCAGGCAGTATCTGAAATGAAATTGATTAATGAAGAGCAATGGCAGTGAACACTGAGCCTTTCAAAAAAAAAAAAAAAAATCAAAGATACATCTTGATGTGTATTGAGAAGATGCATTTGTTAACTGTGAAACTGTGTCTTCTTTTTGCATAACACCTTAAAATCAGCAATAAAATATCACAAATGCAAACCAGATACAAACATAAGAACTGTACAGGCTGTTCAACAGCTTTCCTGTTTTACCTCTTAGGTAATATAAGAGAATGTGAAAACTGTCCTGTGTTCAGTGTATACTGTACATAATAAAACTAATCTGACATCATTTGTGTCTCAGAAGAAAATCAAGTTAGGATGTAACATACCAAATCATTTATAATGGAAAATATTGAGTATTGCAATAGTAAAAGAATGGTTGTGACATAGGTGCCTAATGATTGACATACAATTAAAGACAATATGAGGGCAGTATCATTATTAGTTTAAATACAGAATATTATATAATTTATCAAAACATTTGATCCCTGCCCCACAAGAGAGAGAGAGAGAGAACATGAGCATGACAGAATGGATTTGACCTGGATTGACCTCTAGTGCACATGATAATTAAGACACGTCTCGTCCCCCCCCACCATCTCCAGTCTAAATGGACTGTACAACAAACAAACACAGAACATGGGCAATGACAGTATACACACTTCTGTGTGCAGTCCAAACAACATTTGAATGAACAGTCAGGTTCTTTGTAATTCAAAACACCTTGATGGTTTACATGTGTCAAGAGAAATGAAAAAGGATGTAAACCTGGTAATTAATTCTTTAAAATGAATACTCCTATTTGACCAATAAATAACTTTGTTTCCTTTCTGTTTGTGTAGCTGATACAAAATATAACTGATATGTACAAGGAAGTAACAGATTAGAAAAATAAGTTTTCAAGTATTCAAATACCGCCAGTGATGAAAGCTGATGAGTATAAACCTAAGAATGATCTTTAACTTTCCTATATGAATATTAAATTAAAAGTAATTTAACAATAAGAAATAATACCTATTAAAATACATTCACTGCTGCCCTCAACATGATTTCTAGACATATTGTTCATAGGATGGATCATCTCATCAGTCACATCAGATACATGACAGGAACGTGCAGACTAAGTGGTTCCTTCCAAGTTTGTTTCTTGTCTTTTTTTAAATTTTAATTTCAGAATTATTTCTCCAAAGTTTCTGGTTTTAAAATCTAACAATGTTCAGATTGTATTCTTTAAGTTTTAATTTTGGTTCTTGATATTTGCAATTTTAAATTAAGAATTTATGATTTTTCTTTTTTTTACACTTCACCCATGGAAACTGTTTTTAATGTGAACACATCGGCCCTCCCCCAGCTCCACTGTAATAAGGAATCCCCTGATAAATAGCAAACATCTAAAAACAACAAAGAGATTACATTTACTCTGTGGCACTCTTAAATGATCCAAAAAAACAAACATAAAGTTTCCAGAACTTTATGCAAAACAAAAGTTTTACTAGATAGATTTTTGGGTTGCTAGCAAATGCTGAATTTTTTACACTTCTTTCTGTACCAAGACTGCACCCGAGATAGTGCACAAAGAAAACTCATATCCTTTCTGTCACTTTAATCACTGCAGAGCCTGCAGTCTCAAACGAGTGACAATATTTAAAACAAAATCAGTAGTATTTGGCATAAACTCACCAAAGACCACCACATTACTTTTTATTTTATTTTATTTTTTAATAATGTACATTGCACATGTACTCTCTGATATGTTGGAGTGAGGAGTCAGTGGATCTTCTTTTTCACGTGCTGGCAATCTGTCCATGAACACGGAAGCGGTACAGGCATGTGTATTCTACATGACCCCAGTTAGTGAGGACACGCAGCTCCACATATCGATACACCGCATCACTGGGATTCTACATGAGTAGAAAAAGGAGAGAGAAGTATAGAATGAAAAAAGAAGAAGACAGAAATTGTAAGAGTAGATGAAACCAGTGCAGGAAAGATAGAAGACAACAAAAGATGTTTGATTCATGACAAAACAAATTCTTTGTTTTTACACAGAACAGAAAGTAGGTCAAGTCATGATGTTTTTATATTTGTTGATTTCTACTCACCGGCAGCTTGAAGGTCTGTGTTGATTCACCATCTTCATTGTAAGTGAATGTCCCCAGCAGAGTTCCTTCTTCTGTGTCGTCTTTCATTCCCTGTGAAGGAGAAAGTTTGTCCTCTGAGATTATTCTAGAGCAGAGCAGTTATAGGTCAGTATGCTACGTTTCTAGGTCCCAGCACTCACATAGACTTCAAAGTCTTTGGGAGCAGATTCAATGGTGCCGGTGGGAGAGTTGTAGCGAGGGAGGTGGTCCAGCGTCACATGAGTTATCCTGATGGGATGAGACAGGGAGATCACAAGAGTCCCCTCGACACCGTGAAATGCCCAACATTTCCCAGGGAGAAGCACCGGGTAGCCCTGCGAGGGAAGAGGGGGAGGACATATAGCCGTGAGTGTCCAACAAAGTGCTAAACAGATTTAACTTTATCTTCCAAAAGAACTGAGAGAGAGAAAGCAGGAGGAAGAAGAGATGGAGGAGAGGAGAAAGAACTGAAGTGAGACAGAGCGGTCAGATGTTTTCAGAAGAGGGAGGAGAAACTGAGATGACAGAAAAGATGGAGGCAAGTGAGAAATAAAAATGGCGAGAACATCTTTTACCTGAATAACAGTGCGTGGGCTTTCAGATGGGTACCACAGAGGGATTCCGAAAAGGGTGACACAGGCGGAACGGATTCGATATGTCTCTGAACACCTGGTGCTGATCATGCTGGCCCCTTAGCACAAACAAAACCACATCGTGTTAAAGAAGGGTTGAAATGAACTCATGAATAATTTCATAAAAAAAATAAAAAAATAAGAAGAATTATGATCTGCTCTTTTAACCACAAAGAAACATGACGATTAGACACCTCTGTGAACTAAAGCTATGACGACATTTTTTACAAATGTAAATCTGAACCAATACACTAATCTATTATTATTGTTTTTTGTGAAAATGAAACTTTGCCAGCATGACCACAGAGAAAATGTAACGTGGGTATGTAAATCATGAGACAGTGACGTGAGCACCTACCTTGAGTCTCCAGTGCAAAGTCAGCCATTTTGTCAGCCATGGGCCGTCCGCAGTCTGGGGAGCTTCCTTTGTCTCTGAGTCTGATAGCATCCTGCTCCTGATTCACATTCACAGACAGTAAGTAACGTAAGTAAGTGCATTCAGTATGGTTTCAAAATGGTCAATATTTGGATACTTGTTGATATCTCATCACATGATTTAAAACAGCACAATCTCCATTATCTTACTGATCGATGTTACCCAACAGTACAGAAACTTAAGAAGAACCTCACGTCTTGTTTTGAACCAAAAGATGCCAACAAAAGAGAGCATTGTCTAAAGTGCACAGATACGTTGGCAGCATTTGGCTAATTAAAAACTATAAATTAACCAATATTGCACGACTGCAAGTTGTATATTTGTTGCAGTGGCATCGAATCAGGTCTCACTATCCTCTGACTTTTACTAGCATCGTATTGTGAGAACATACAGAGTCAAATGTATCAACATACACCTAGATACAGATTTGCAAACCACCATAGAATTGCACTTACAGTATATGAGTAATTTGTCTTAAATGACATCTACAGAATGTATTCCTTTCCCTACCTTGATGTGGTCTGTGAGCCACGCCTCCATGGCCTGTTGGAGCTCTGGGGTGAGATGGTTATCGATGGGGGCAGAGTGTGTTTGAGGGCAGGGGGCCGGGGTAGACAGCTGGATGGAGGACAACTCCTGGGACAGCTACAAGAAACAAGAAGTCTTATTGTAGCCACACAATGTGTCGTAAACAAGTCTCGTTGGAAAACCAAATTAAATAACGTAAACTAATGATGAACACTTTGAGTTTGTCAGTTTGTACATATCTATCAGTGATGTCACCTTTGAGTTTTGGGCTTCTAAAGCTTGGATCTTGAGGGTGAGAATGGCAGCAGTGTTGCTGCTGTGTGTCTGGTGATCCACCATCGTCTTGCCCAACCCAGCAACCTCCTGCTCCAGACGGAGCCGACTGTTTACGTCCACGACATCAAGTTTTGCTTTCATATCCTGCATGTCCATCTGTACCCTCTCCTTCATCTAAGGGGGAAAGAAATTAAGTCATCACTGTACTAACACTGAGATCGAATGCGAAATGTTGAGAATTTCAGGTAGTGTCATACAGATGAGACTCAGCAGGTTACGAGGTCGCTGCAGAGGCTACTAGTGGTTAATTAAAATCTATATGACTGATGAGAAATATTGAGCCAAGTTGGATTGATGCATTTTTCCACAACAACATTTAACTTTTAACAGTTTATTTCCCACTAAAATCATGGACGGATATAGTTTGTAAAAAGGACTGAATACGGATCTATTTTCATTTTTTTTCAGAGTTTCACTCTTCTAGAGTACTTTAAACTTTAGTACTTTAGACGGCACAGCAAAGAAACCTACAAAGTCACAGAGGAAATCTGTATTCTCTCTGCACTTCCACATGATCTCCAGTAGATAGTACTCTAGCACAGATGAGTTTGACCCAATCTGGCTTCTATCCTCGCATCAATAGGCAGGACTTTTCAGATTTTACAGACCAAGTCTATGAATGATAAGAAGAAAGAAATGAGCAAGGACACAGAGAATAACAGAAGAAAAGGAGGCAGAATTGTAGGGAAGTATTCTCTTACCTGGGAAAGAAGGTGTTCCTGCTTCCGCTGCAGTTCTATCTGTGTCAGCTTCAGTTCCTCCTGAATCAAACACAGATACAGATTCAGAAACATGAACTCTGATTTTTCATAGAGGCCCCAAATCATATTTGTTTCAGCACTTTTTTTTTGGCAAAATGAAGGCCTCTCACTTCAACAAAAAGCTGATGATCTGCATCATACCTTAAGACCCTGCATCTTTGCTTCTACAGCAGCGGACACAATGGCTGGATCCTAGAGGGGGGAAAAAACACTTCATACTTCATGGTAACAGAAAAATCCCCACATTTGCATCAAACAAAAACACCCAAAATAGCTTAATTTATTCTGTATCAGTATATACTGTATACAAAGAAGGCCACACAATACTTTTGAAAATAAATTTCCCATGCACTTTATCTACTTTAAATCTGCTAATCTATGTGCTTTGACATAAATAAGATTTAAATCTCAAGACTGAAGCTTCCTTTAGAGAGGAGTGGTGGAGACATTCACAATCAGTTTCCAGCTTATATTCAGGAAGTTTAAGATTGATCCTGAAGAAGCATATAGATTCCATGTTTTGCATAATCTTTCTTTAAATATGCATGACATGCATTGAATCATATTATTTGATTGAACAGAAAAGTCATTCATCCATCAACATGTCAGTGCAATTATCTGTACCTCCTTAATGAACAGATTTTTTTAAATGTCAAAATACTGTAAATGTTACTGAACACGGGAGAAGTTTGAGAATCAGATTTTATCCAAAGCTAGAAGTTAAAGGAACTCTGAGGACCAACCATTTGCAAAAGCCCACAGATATCTATCCTCCCAGTCATTTAATATCAATGAATTTTATTTCAACCCTCCCACAGAATGAACCAGTGAGATGAAGATGAGCTTTCCTACCACCACAGGTGTAAGATGCATGGCGTTGGGTTGAGGAGGAGGAGGAGGAGTGGAAAGGATAACAGGTTGACTCTGAGGTTTGATTTGTGACGGGGTCTTGGTAACAGTCATGCGGGAGGTGAGAGAGGTCAACACAGGAAGGAAGAACCAAATACCTGGAGAAAACAGAACCAATGGGGTCTTAACACACAGCAGAGACACAGTCTTCACAAAGTAAACATCACCTGCTGCAATGAACCTTCGTCGATCAAAGGCCTTGACATGCAAAAGCTGTATAATGAATGACATTTGCTGTGACTCATTCAGCCTGAGTTGACCAAGCTGTGCTGCTTTACAAGTCAAACTAGGGCTGCTCAGTTGTGACAAAAATCAGAATCATAGCCAAGTTAGTTAGTGCGCACACCCTCAGGCTCAGGTTCAAATCCGACTGTGGCTCCCTGCATATTATTCCCCACCTGCTCTCCCTGATTTCTGAATCTCTCCACTGTCCTTTCCCCCCAAAAAAACATTACAAAGATTCACGATCAGAATCGATTAAACGAACGATTCGTTTAATTGATATTGAGACAATTATTTAACAAGAGTACTCAATGATTTTACAACATCTGGATCACAAGCATTCATCCAACTTAAACACTCGTTAACACTTTGAAAACAAGCAATACATAAAAATAGCTCAGTCAAAAACATCTCAATATAATACAATAAATTAGCTGTGTTTTTGAGGTAGCGTTGATGTACTCTTGTGGCCAAAATGTAACAACAAAGCTTTGACCATTTACAGAAATGAAATGGTGTGCTCAGAAATGAGCACACCTCTGCATGCCATGTGCACAGGCGGCACAGTTATTGTTTAATCTTGATTATCTTGTTTTCACGATTGTGTAAAGCCATAATCATAATTGAATTTCGATTAATTGCCAAGCCCTAACAGACATTTTGACACTACCCCCGCAATTAGACAAAATGTAGGTTTTAAAGGAAAACAGATAGGAACAGAAAGCCGTAAATTGGCCCTTTATGTAGATGATGTTATATGGTTTATTTTACATCCCCATAAGAATGAGACCATAAATTAATACAAAACAATAGATGAATATAGCAAAGTTTCAAGATGCGATACGATGCAATGCAGACACTTTATTGTCCCCTTAGAGACATTTTCCTTGGACTCAAAGTGCTGACAAACACTCAAATTAAACTTTTGTAATAAACTTTGTTATCGGAAAACAAAATAGCCAAGCTCTTGAAGATGAATATAAACATAAATGGCACAAAGAAAATAAAGTATCTGGTCATTAACATGCTACATGTGCTGCAGACACTGTGATGAGTATATTAAATAATAGAGCTGCGGCTTGGTCTGCTAGATGATGAAGGGACTTTTTCAAACCATTTCATTATTACACCAAGAACTGTTCCTGCTAATAGAACATATAGTATTAATTGGAAAAAAAATGATATGCCAATACCCATATATATCTGTGATAAGCCTGTACCTGGAGATAATATTAGCTGAGCAATATATTGGTGTGTTTCTTATAGGTTTTAGTATAAGTTAGGTAGAGCCGGAGAGTTTTTTTTAAATTTTGGATCCTGGTACCTATCCTATACAGGTCTCATGAAACACTTGGTGATTAAATGTGTTAAATTAATGCAAACGACCCACTTGTTGTGTTTATTACTTACATAGTAGTAGAATCAAGAGGAGGATAAACAGACCACAAGCCTTCTTCATGTTACTGCTGATTGACCCGTAGGCTGCAGTGATGAGAGGAAAAGGTTAGTTAGCAGGGATTTTGGTAATCTGTAGTACAATCACATGCATCAGTTGGGAAAACATAAACCTGCTGACACGTGAAAGCAGTATGCATGTTGACATGTGAGCATAGACTGTACAAATCCACTTGACAATGTGAGAAAAACAAACACAAGCTGGTTCAAATACTCACATATGTTTAGTTTAGGCATGGGTATCAAGAAAGGTATCAACATGAAACTGGTTCTACATTTCTAAGATTCATGGATTCATTAAGGCAGCTGAATTTCAAATGTGCTTATGATTCCTAACAGCAACATAATTCATTCAGGATTTAATATCAGATAGAATTTTGAGGTCCATTAAGTATCCATAAGTTGGAATAAAAATGTTTTTCAATATTGATTCCTTAGATACAAGTTCAGAGAGCACCACTCCACCCCTGGTTCCTATAAGTAACCACATAGTACAGAAACTCTGTTCTCTTAAGCGATGAAGGGTAAGATGGATGAATGTTACCATGTCGTGACAAGCTTTGTGGTGAAGGGGTTGAGTCACCAACGTGTAAGTTTGCAAAATGCACAAATTACATCTGGGGCCGTTTCAGAAAGCAGGTTTTGTGCAAACAACCAGCCAGTTAACCCTGAAATGAGGGGAACTCTTTTCCTTTTCAGAAAGAGAGGTCACTCAAACCCGAGAAAGAGGGGTAACTCCAGCCCGTTACAGAGAGGGAGGTAAGTTTACCTCTGATTCAGTTACTATGGTAACTGAGTCTGTGAACCTAATGTGGTCGGGAGCATGTTCTCTTCAGTGAACCCCCGAGTTTCTCTCGGTCTCCTCCCTCTTTCAGAGCCAGAAACGCGGTTTAATTTCTTCATTCTTTCAATCAGTCCCTATCACGTGCGTTAATGAAGATTCACAGTTTCCAGTTTGTTTTAATATTAAACGTTAGGTAGGCAGTACTATAGCGTATAAAACTTTCTAAAAATATAGGAATTGGAGTCAAGATTCTGTGACAACCAGATACCATAAGCAGAAATCGAAATGATACCCCTGATATGATAGGGTAAGGTAAGGTAAGGTAGGGGAGGGTGTGGTAGGATACAAAATGATGCGATAAACTTTATTGTCGTCTGGGGGACATTTGTGTTGGACTTCAAGCGCTGCACACTTTAAGCTAAACATAAATATAGAAAAAAAACAACAACAATATCATACCTAAAGCTGTGAGATGTATTACTTTAGAGTGAACTGCATCAGCCATCAATGAGAATGAGTCTACACAAAACACAGGAAACATGAGATCATTATTTAGACATGCAGAGAGGCATACATTCCAGCAGACACACACACACACACACACACACACACACACACACACACACACACACACACACACACACACACACACACACACACACACACACACACACACACACACACACACACACACACACACACACACACACACACACACACATACTCACCCATCAGACCAAACAAGGCACTGCTGATTCGGCTTCTGTATCCAGCACTAGGAGCCCCACTGTTACTTTGGATCCTGCTGGTGAAGGCAGTGGGCTTCCTGTGATTCCCCTCAGAGGACGAGTACCCTGAGCTGTCCACACTGCTCTGACTCAGCTCCTTGGGGTTTGGTCTGAGGTGTAATCCTTGTATACTGGGGCTGTGGAGCCCAGCAGTGTAAAACCTTGTCTCTGGAGGTACTGAAGGGCAGCGTGTGGGCGTCTGACTCCGGGCTGACGATGGGGTCAGGGCAGGCCGAGGGGTGGCAGTAACATAGGGTATGGTCCTCATTGTTGTCTGATTCTGACTGGTGGAGGCAGAAACACTCAGGCCTGAAATCAGAATGGAAAATAGAGAACAGTCAGCTGTGCAGATTAAATCACTCAATACTTGTTCTTGTACTAAAAGTTACAAGAATCATTTTATATAATAAGATGGATATTTTATCTCCATTTAAATTGTTCGTCATCATTAAGCAAAGACTAATTTCCATTTTGATTTACGCAAATTGGGCTGAAACAAATCATTTGAAAGTGAACCATATAAATTGATTTAAATGGATTTTTGTAGTTTTTGTAGGTTGTAGTACTCAATATGATTCAATGTACCCTGGAATGAAGGTATGAATCTGAATGAAATCCCAACATTTGAATTAACATCATGGAACTTTGGATTTTTTAGCATTTTTACTTGACTAAAAGGTGAAAAGGATTTTCAAATCATTTATTGATGAACTGATGTTCATGTAGGGCTGGGAAATTAATCCAGTTCCAATTATGATAGCGATTTTGGCCTCCATCTCCATCGAGATTAACCGATGACTGTGCTGCACGCCTTGTTGCACTCGTTTTGTCCACAGGTTTTGTCTTGTGTGATAAATGTTTCAAAGAGGTTGTTGGTATATTTTGGCCACATTAGAACTTCAAAGACCTCAAAAACATTTTTCATTTTTCAAAATGTATTTTATTATTATTTTTATATACTAAAATTTGTGTCACTTCTGTATTTTCATATATTGCTTGTTCAAAGTGTTAAGAGTGTTGAAGTTTGTTAAATGCATGTGATGATGCAGATGTTGTACAATCAAGTAAGATTCAAATTGAGTAAGATTTTGTGTTTAATAATCGTGATCTCAATATCAATCAAAATAATTGAGTAACCCTACTAACATGTCAGAGAGACACATGTCCCCAACTGGATTCATTCTAGAAATGAATATCACTTTAGTATTGACAGGTTTCTATGTCATTGTGTGTCTTGCTGATAGGACGTCTTCTTGTGTTTACCATCACACTGGTCTACTGGATCGAGCTGCTCAGGGCTAGAAGATCTAGTATTGCTTTTGGTTCTACTCGGGGTATGAGAGCCACTCTTACGGTTTCCAGACTTCTTTTTGAAAACCCTGCAGATAAAAAACAAGACAACCCAAACACACGCACGCACGCACGCACGCACGCACGCACGCACGCACACACACACACACACATTATCGTGACAAAGAACAAAAATGACTTTGCATTACAGTTTGAAAATCAGAGCTATTGACAATAAAACAAGATTAAGACACATTAGCGCACACAAAGAGATAGAGTGACATACTTGACAGGGTTTTCCCGGTAGGAAATGTTAGTCACACTACTCGAATCAGACTCTTCATCTGAGTTATAGTAGCCGCCGGACACGAGGCGAGAACTCCTACGAGACATGGCTGAAAGACAAAGAACGAAAAATAATGAGATATCAGTGTCATTTAGAAATCAGGCTACCAGTGTTATTAAGCAAAACAATATTTTCTGAAACACAGAATCCATCTTCTATAAATGAAAGATCTCTTTAACGTCATATTAAATATTCTATTATTTATCTGCCTTTATTTGGTGACTAAACTTGTATGGGTATAAAAGACAGATCTGTACATCTATTATTATCAGTAGCTGAGACGGCTGTGCCGAAGTAGAAACAGAAATACTAGGCACAATAGCAACTCAGTAACAACAGTAGTGGTGGTTATATGTAGTAGTAGTCAAAGTGGCAGATTTAGTTGTAATATATAAAGCAGCAGTGTAAATAGAAGGAGATGCTGCAATGTGCTTGCAGCATCAATATGCTTGATAAGGAATAAAGGCAGTGTTCAAATAGTCGTTGATGTAATAGTGTCAGCAGTTATACTACAGAACTCTGACAGATGCTCTCTTGGTTAATCTCAACAGTCTGTAATCCAACTAATCCATAGAAAACTATCCTGCTTCAAAAACACTCACTGACAGTCACAGAGCAGAAGTAAAACACCAAACACACACACACACACACTGGCATCTAAAACACAAACTTAACCACCTAAGACAGACACTGCTAGTATGTGACGGTGCAGACACATTCTGAGTACACACAGTAAAGAACACTAATGCAGCCTGACAAAAACAGACACAGATGCAGCATACCTTAACTGAGCAACCATGCTTGAGGTGCAGAAAAATATTTACAAATACTACAGTTAAAACTAAAGAAAGTATGAAAACATTAATCTTGAGCTTTGCTGTATTTGTTAAACATTAGCCGCCAGGTTTAATTTCAGAAATGCTCCCATCACAGCCTTCATGTAACAGACATCTTAAAATAAGCACTCTGATTGGTCGGTGTGTTTACAGTGAAGCTGATTTGCATAAACCACAGCTCACAAGCCTTGCCACTTACTGTGCCAAATCGTGCCGCAAGCAGCAAAGTAAAAATCCCCTCACCCCTTAATGTCAACTAGAAGAAAATAGAAAAGCCAGAGATGTATCCGTCTACAACTTAATAGACATATCATTGATTTTACTGTCCATATTACAGGCCAATAAGATGACTTAGAATTATGAATACATAAGAATGATGTATTTATTCCGCTACAGTAGAGGCTTAATGGTCTCTGAGGTTGTGCTGAAAGAACACATCATCAACCACAGTTTGCCAAAAGTCAAGTTGGATATGATGATATTGTCTGTCAGTTGCACTGATAGCTTTGTTCAAAGTTACACATGAAGAGACATTATCCCATCAATTCAGCAACCACATACTGAAGCAACAATAAAGATAGTCTTCCTGTGTCCTCCTGTCAATAGAAATCAAACATCAGTAGCTCCAAAAATTAAGCAGTCACCAGTCTGCAGACAACAAATGGCAATTCTTGAAGAGCGCTGTGATGTGTACTGATCCATTCAATTCCAAATCATCGATCTTTATCTCTGTTTGTCATTCATCCGAACACGTTTACATTGCAGATATTCTACCTAGCATTTGCTGCATTTAAACAACTCACGCTGTAGGTCAAACTGACCATTCAAAATGCGAGTTAAGAAAGTAACCTGACTTTAAAAGAGTTATAAACTTGAACAACCAACACGTCTTTGAAACACTCTACCTTAAGAGTCAATATATATCCAAAAAATACATCAACCTTTAGAATGTGCTTTGTAATGAAGTCTTGTAATTTGACAGGTTACCCTGTATCTTATCCTGCTTCCTCTTGATTCAAAGCAACATCTGGTTTTAGAGGAACTAACCTGGTTACAGTCTTTCTTTGCCTTCAGATACCGTCGTCAGCTGAGGGCAGGACAGCAGCAAAGCAGAGACTTACAAATGCTACTAGAAAGAGCGGCAAATGACGACTGAAGGGGAAGCTGTGGCCTACAGATAGAGACAGGAAGTCAGCACACTCACACACACAAACCTTCACTTACACGAAGGGTGTTAAGGCCTATTTTAGCTTCATTTGAATATCTTGATCAGGAAAGAATATAACACACATGCCGATGTTTTTTCTCCACAAAATCCTACCTCAATACACAACCATCCCAAATACATCCAACAATCCATATAGTATATCCATAGTTTATCATCCTCCATTTCTTCTATGCATGCATCTTTTGAGTGAGTTACATGAGAGGGATTTTTTTTCTTATAAAGATAGATGGCAACAGACTAAGACGAAAAGAGATATAAACATCAACAAACTGTCAATTGTTTGAAAAGGTAATAATAGCAACATCACACATGACTACGCCTGACAGCAGTCTTTTGCTGTGCACACAGGCCGTCTTTGTTTATGGTTAACAACAACAACAACAACAACAGCATAGCAACAGAAACAGCTCCAAACACTTCACAAGTTGGTCATAACAAAACTGTTTGATGGTTTGACGATCAACATTATAAAGAAACAAGGATCAGAAATGTTTTGACTCCACAGCAACGGCAGCCTGTGTTGAGAAAACAAATTCTTCTTTTTTTACACGATTAGAATTCCTGTCTTAATGTCGAGAGGCTTTAGCTCAGAGTGTTGGGTAAGGAGCAGTTTGTACTATAATTCCCTCAAATCCTCCCCTCCACTTTAATTGCTCAGCTCAGGCTAGCTCAGCACTTCTCCTGTCCTGAACACCAACCCCCTCCTTATGAAAGCAGAGGTTACAGCTATTGATCCTCTGTTTCTTTTTTTTTTCATTCTTCTCATTCTCATTCTCGTTCTACCTTCACCTCTTACACCAATTAACACATTTGACCGAATCCCTCTTCTTATTGTGTTCCCTTCTTGTTTCAGGGCAGGCTTTTTCTTGGATCACATTTATTAACTGCCCATTCATTCTCTTAAAGAGATACTTCACCCATTTGCATTAAGCTTCATATCATTAGAAACCTGGTAGTATTTTTGAATGGTCGTGCATCCCGCCCTCATTTTCCCCCGAGATGGGAAATCTTTGTATTTCAAAGTCTGAAAAGGAGCTTCCAGTGACGCAAAAATCTGCATTTTGCGTCATCGGAAGCTGTTGCGGTTAGCGGGGTGAAACTACTACGTTAGTTCCTCATATTTTCGACCACTGAAGCTACAGACCAATCACAGATCAGTGGGTGGGAACTCACTCCCAGAATCGCCATATTGCTTGGAAGCTTTGCTAACAGGCTCTATGGACAAAGCTGATAATGGCGAAAAAATATAAATAGTGGCAAGACAGCTGCTGCCGACAGGTCGGTCTTGTGTTTTGGCTGCTGCGGCCGCTTCCAGCTCAGCAGCCGAGACATAAGGCCTGCCTGTGCGGCGGTGAGGACGAGGAGCCCGGGCCGGCTCGAGCTGGGGTAGACTGGTAGTCTCGGTGCTCTCACTGTTTGCCGATGGACACAGACATAGAGTCTGTTTTCTGCCAGGAATTTCCAAGATACCAATTCAATTCTGGAAGAAATCTCGGAATCAGTTGAGGAAATGGCCGTATGTGTTGAAGTAAATATGTCTGTAAATGTTTTTATTACTATATTTCTACTGCTATATATTTTGGAGAAACTGTAACGATCGAATTCCCTCTGGGATTAATAAAGTATTTCTGATTCTGATTCTGAAATAGAGGACCTTAGTGGGAGTGGCCTGCGGTGCTGTGCATTCTGGGATTTGGTGTCTTTCATCCACATGAGCCAAAAAGACCCTTTCTGCCTTTTCTCAGCCAAGAAGGCACCAACTTCAATATTTATTTCACATTTTTACTACATTATGACCCAATGTCAATACAGATTCATGTTTCAATGGGTGAAGTATCCCTTTAAATAGAGAGCCTTTTCCCCCGAAATGGGTTTCAAGACATTTAAACATTTCATTTGATATGTTCCTACACTGGATGGCTGCAAGTAAAGCATGTTCCATTGCTTCACTCTATGTCCTCAGGTATGATTCCTCAACGTGTGAGTGAGTGTAAATTCATGACAGGGAAAATATCATAAAACAAGGACAAATCCTTAAGAGATCACCTTTTTCAGTTCCTGGGGATTCATGTTAAGACAGACAAAAAGGGCCTGTTCATAAGTATGAATAAAAAACTGCCAAAATTACAATCCTTCAGCAAGACTTACTATCTTTCTTTTCATACTGCCAGTTCAAGTACGATTTTTACGCCCCTTGGCAAATCTCGCTTTCAATATGAACGTCATGGAGGCGTAAACGTGGGACTAAGTCGTCCCACCATGTCTGCCAGCATCGGAGACAGCACATGTTACAGTGACAAGACGGGATCACTCAGTAAGTTTGCATGCACTGTTAAGTCCTTCATTTGTCTTCACATTATATTGTATCATATTGTTATGCCGTAAAAATAAAAAAGTAAAAAAGGGCTTATGATTCTTGAGGATGAATTAACTTTCTATATTTATCAATCTCAAAATATATCAACATACACTAGGATTCTATTATGCAAGCTGTTTGAGAAGCAAACTTGTATGACAGTGGCTTTATAAGAAATCAGAGGATTCTTTACTTTAACTTTAGTATAGTTTGAATGACTTGGTTGATCACACTTTTTGAGGGCTATACTGATCTACTAAAATGTCCGATGTTTATCATCATTATCCTTGTTGCTGTTAATTGTATTGCCATCCCCTATCTACCAGTGTTTTTTTTTTATTAGAATGAAACTCTGTAGGCATCAGTATTGGTAAAGCTGCTCACAGGAAGTCAGTTTGAAGCAAAACTTGAAAGTGAAACTGAGTGAAGCTATCTTACTCTTCACTTTGGTGTGTTGAATCTCCTTGCAAGAATATGTTGTAATAAAAGAAGTGTTACGTTTGGACCCAATGACTCAACAGACATGTCAATATCTAAATCCTACACACGTCACATTTATGCATGTGTGATCCCTACACCTCCACACATGTACGTATACAGGATTGAAATCTAAGGAAGCAGAGATTGGGATGGAGTAGCGTCTGCTCAGGGCTGGGCAGGGTGGGGCTCTATAACTGCTCTAGTATCCTGACCACAGTCACTGGCAGTGCACGGACACAAAAGGAAAACTGACAAGAGCAGGAATAAGAGAAAAAGGGCTAGACCTAGCACAAATAGGTACAAAGGCATTAGGAAGGTGAAGAGTAAGACCGAAAAATTGGCAGCACGACCACAATGACAGAATGAAGGATGGACAAAGAGATGAAATAACAGACAGGGAGGGGCGAGTAGAGAAATTGTGCTTTGAATCCACAGTAGGGAAAATGTGTAGACCACTGTTTGATTTAAATCCAGCCAGTTTTCTTCATGAGTGGAACATTTTTTTTTTTTTTTTTTAAAGCACATAGAGAGAAGCCAAAGGAATGAAAGGCTTCGGAAAGTCAAAGAAGTAAATACATTTGTATAAAAGTAGGCAAAGAAAGGAATGCAGAATAAGAGTCCACATAAATCCCAAACTGGACTGGCAAATTGGTTATTATACTGTGGCTAACTTCAGGGCTGTGCCTGTGAAATATGATTCAGACATACAGAGCAGATGAGTCATTGTGTGTGGCATTAGATGAATTACCCCAAGCTCTTTGTAAAGTCGACGGGGGAAAACACCAACTACAGTCATTAAACCGAGCAGCTACTTAGAAAAAAAGGTATGTTTATATCAATGTGAACCAGATGTTTACACTTCATTCTTTCAGCCTCTCCTCTCAGTTTGAAAAGAAGGCCACTCAGCTGTCTGGCAATCCCTGCCTGAGAATCTTAGGCAGTCAGATGGCGCTCTATTCCCCCCAAAAATATCATTTTAATGTCCAGTGTTCTCTTAACTGTTACAGTATGTCTTTGTCTTTTTTTTAACAATCTTTTGATTATTGTTCTTGACAATATCATTGTTTAGTTCAATGAGTTAGTGAAATAAAAATGGATAAATTGATAATAAACAGGGTTTAAACAACTGCAATTGATATGCCTAAATACACAATACAATATTTATAGCAATTCAAAGTTAATTGATGCTAATGATGCTCAACTTTTCTAAAAACTGATGATTCTTTCCTAAGAGTAGTCACATTTTAGTCACTCCTACACTTTTCACTTGTCAATGATTAATATCATTTAAAACAGAACGTTTTGTTACTTCAGACTGGCTAAACATGACAGGTTCTTCACTATTTTCTAACACTGAATAGAAACTTTACTTTTCAAGACACAAGCCAGTGAATGAACCCTGGTTGTCTCTGCTGGATTCACTATGGTATGTCCTGACCTCCATAGCTAAATTGTAAAGAGAGGATACATTTATGCCACTTATGCCACTATATTGTCAACACTTAAACCAATAAATTAAGAGCACATGCTTGTTTACATGACAGGTGCATCAACATTTAACACATAATCTTGCAAAATTAAATGAAACAAAATTAGGGGTGTTTTGTTTTTGACAGACAGTACAGAAAATACTGCATTTCTTGAACTGAATGAATGTTATTCTTATAAATACAGTATTTAAATTTGGAACACAGCTCACATTAGGACAATCACGGCAATGTGTTTTTAGATCAAATACTTAATAAGATGCCAGCTAGTAAGCCTTTATTTATGCTGGATAACTACCTTCTTGGTAAACTTAAAAAAAGCTAGATGTTAATTTAACTTAACCAAACTTTGAAGACATAAAAAAAAGTCACACTTCATTAATCAGTTATTAACCACATTAACTTCTAGATACACAAACCATTACATCTTTACTTTCAGAAGCCAGGCAAGGAGATGAAATGCAAAGAGTCGCTTACATGTGAGGTTTTAGTAAAATGTTAATTCCTCATTAACGCGTCAACGGTGGAGATTTAAACATCCAACAACAACAACAACAACGACAACAACAACGACAACACACTGAACACAAAAGCTTCACGTTTCAACACAAAGCTTAAAGTCACCTCCTGACATTTGAAATGTAAGTTGCTTTAATGTTTCAGTTCGTTATCTTACCTCGGGATGTTTTGATGTCTGTCGCAGTTGAACAGAAACAGCCTGTCAGGAAATGATAATCTTCTCTTCAGCACCTCACGACCAACTAGCTCCGTTCAAAGAAACATCTCCACTCTTTTCAAACTCTTACAAAGTACCAGAAACAGCGACTTCGTGTTTTAATTATTTCCACGAGTGAAGTATCGCGTTTGGAGGCATTACTGTGGGCTGAATCAGAGAGACAGACCGACGCTGCTTGTCATGATAGTGCGGAGGTTTCGCCGCTACAAAATATTGACAGCGAGGATAGAATTCAAGCTAGAAAAAGTAACGATAGCGAAGACTTCCGGTTAAGGTTTACAAAATAAAGTTCTTTATCGTGATTAAATTAAAATGTTTATTTTGTATAGTGTGACTATGTTATGTTTTTATTTTATTATTTTAAAACATACGACTACTTTTGGTATTATTACTACTAATACTACCATCACCGCTACCACTACTACTACTAATAATGATAATTTTGATAATGAAGCCCTAATAATAATAATCACAACAATAATAATTTTAATCTTTATTATTGTGTGACTGTCTCACAGTGCACGACCTTTTTTACAGCAGTAAAATCTGGAGCATCGTTTGCTATAATTATAAAAATAAATACAGATTATACATAGCGTATTACGTCTTGGGATGGAATGAACTCATCTTCTATATAAATAAGACTATAAATATAAATAATTTGGTGCAGTAGCAGGAAGTTGTTATAACAGAGCCCTTTTTATTTATTTATTTATTCACTGTACACGACTGTAGTGGTGATGTTGTCCACTGTGAAGCTGTTTCCGGTCTCTTTCTATCGACTCATTGCATAGTGCATCTGGTAATAACGAAACATAGGGGCCCTCTAGTGGTTATATATGTGCCCTTCAACAAATTAAAATGCAGCTGCATTTCAAGCTATTGACGCACAGAGGAGCCATCTGGCTGTAAAACGAAAAACAAACCTGTTATACTGTTTTGTTTTGGGCCCTTGTGCATCATCAAATTAGAATTTAATTGTAAGGCCAAAGTCGAAATTAAAATGTGAAAACCTTACCAAATTCTGTAAACTTGGAAAATCAGATTCTAATTCAAATTACAGAACCCAAGCTTAATAAATGGCTTGTTAATAGATGTTTAATAAACATCTAAAACTACCAAGCAGCAAAAACTCTTGTGAAATCTTTCAATAAAGCTGCTCTAAAATATGCTGCTGACTTTTAGCTCCATGGAAGGGAAGAAAAAATGTAAACTAATATGAGAGATGCAGAGTCAAACACAAGAACATGAGGACACAGAAATATAGCTGTGAATTATAATAAGCTACCACCAGCATATACAAACATACATGAATTCAATTAAACAAACAGTGTAATGTCTAGCAGAGCAATATCTTTATTAATCAGTCACCAAAATCTTTATTAAACAAAACATTTGTCTTTGTGGTGTATTGTAGTATTTAACATATGAAAGGTTTTACTTTAGAAACACTGAAGTCAAATTTAAGCATCAAGTCATCATATCTTGTCCAATGATCTCAAGGTGTTATTTTCTATAATGACAAACAAAAACACTTTTTTAGGCTGACCATTTGGTCATGTGCAAATCACTTAGTTTAAACAAATGTTATATATTGACTAATTGATTGACTGATTGATTGGTAAACACAACAAAACCACTTTTACATAATGCAACCAATTCAGGTCAAACCTCCCACAAAGAGAAACCAGGTTTTATAATCTATTAGATCCCAAACCCACCCCCAAAAAAATGCTTTTAAGGAAAACCCTAAAAGCTTATGTACGATATTGCAAGCTGCCCAAAATAAACCCAATCTGACCTTATCACTGGGCAGACAAGGTCCATTCCTTATTCAAACGGGTCATTTTTGAAAAAAAAGAAACTCAAAAATGCGTCTGGTATGTCCGGATTGTTCCATATTTGATAAATAATTTCAGCAGTCTGGAGACTATCAGCAGCACAGCCAGAATCCCTGACCTCTGAGCTTCAGCCTTACACTGTGTGTATGTGTGTGTGTGTGTGTGTGTGTGTGTGTGTGTGTGTGTGTGTGTGTGTGTGTGTGTGTGTGTATGTGCGTACACGCGTGCATGTGTATTTATGCCTGTTGAACCTATTGTCTCCCAGTCTGTTATCATTATGCAGCAGTTTCCTCTGGCTGGGGCGAGGGAAAGGGAGAGAGAGAAACAAAGAAATAGGGATACTCAATCATCAGACACTCAACAATGAAGAGTCTGTTAAATTGACAAGCTCATCCCTCCTGATGCCGAATCCAACGACTTTCAACAGATCATTTTTTATGGACTCTTTCATGTATGGCATTTCCCTGTTCTCTGCTTCTTAACATACACACACATAAGTGTATACTCCCAACCTGCTTATCTACCAAGCTGCTGCCCCAGACACCACCACAGAACACAAACAAACAGCTGATGTCATGGGCACACATGAACACTCACACAAGCTTCCCCATTTCTGGCCTGAAGTCATTCGGTTGGAATGTGATCAAAAATAGAGTGAGAGTGAAATGTGTGCTTGTAGGAGGCATTTCTTTGAAACCAAGAGAGTGACGGGGTGGGGTGGGGCAAAAGGGATATAAGTGAAGAGTGGGGTTAGAGTGAAATTGCTTAACAGTTTCACAGTCATGGGGTACACCAATCTATAGACAGTGACACACACTACCCACAATCACAGACATAAACACAAACAGACACACACTGAGTCATTGCCAGCAATCCCTTATGAAGTTCAACAGGCAGCACATATAGTGAATCCACCGGTCATACACTATGTACACACAGTACTGCAGGTGTGTGTACACTATGTAGCTTTAACCCAATGTGGACTATTGGCCCATGAAACTTATTTTTACTCTTGAAAAGCTTTTTTTTCACAAGAGTTGCAAATGTTAAATGAATTAAATACTTTTTAATTTAGGGAGTTAATAAAAACAAAAGACATCCAAAATATACTGACAGAAGAAGTACTAGGCAACACTTTTTCAAAACAAAAACATGGCACTTGTGACATTCAAGTGTAATTGTGCTGCAATTGCCAAAATGATTACAGTTTGGAGAAGCAGACTGCTTCAAATTCCACCATGACGCAAATTCAGTCTAAACAAATCATTGAACCCTACAGGGGAAAAAACACAAGTCACACACGGAAAAATGGAAAGCTTTGACTTCCTGTGCTGTAAAATGTTACTGATTTCAGGTGCAGCCACTTGCCTTTAGGTTAATTGTAGGGCATCCAACAGATGTCTGCTTTTTGGATTGCTTTTTTTTTTGTTAATCAACTGGTAAAAAGCCCCCAAAAGTCAACTTGAATTTCCCGTTAGAACACTGTCAAATGTGTGTATATCGAGGGTTAGTGAATAGGTAAGAGGCTGTGGTGATGAAGTGGGACATATCTAACTATCAACCTACATGAGGATTTGGGGGTGGAAGGGGGACAAATTTAACGTACTTAGCAGCAGTAGTGGTTGAGCATTGATAAACATTAACTGTAGTGTTTAACAAAGTGGTGAAATTAGATTGCAGTGGGTGCTTTAAATATAGAGTATGAAGTAGTGAACAGAGCATGTTTTATGTTTAACTCAAGCACCCTGCGGCTCGCCGGCTACGCTTCATTTATTCTAGGTCAGGTTCAATAAATATTTCATGGTGCAGGTCTGGTGAGAAGCTTCAATTTAGATGGTTTAATCTGGGATGGAGTCCAGACTTCTATGATTACCAAGTGATGTAACTATATTGTAAGGAGCAGCAGCAGAAAAAGTACAATAGTGAGCCCTGCAAAAATTCTCTGGAGAGAGAAAACAAGACTATAAGATTTGAGAATGCCTTCCAAACTCCATCTTTCAACTTGATGACACTTATTGAGCTTAAAATGAAGAAAGGCTGCTTCCACAACGTTTTTAATGTGATTAGCCATGGTTTTTAAATTCAAAGAGTTCAAGCTCCTGGATGGAGCTTTTGGTTTGTTTTGACTTTAGCAACCCCTGTGTATAAAGCGGTACCTTTTGTCTCGTTGCTGATCTTTCCCCAATTCATAGACGGTTATATTTTATTCTTATTTTTATTTTACAAAAAATCTCATCTTCTTCTAAGGCTTAGTTGCTTATTTAATTTCAAAAATGTTTACCTTTATTTTACCTGGAAAATATTCTCATTGAGATACAGCAAAAAATAATCTGGGTTTATTTTGTCTTGAATGTGCCAAATGTTCTTACTGTACTGTTTATGGAATATTGTATCCATTATGATGTAGATAGATCACATTAAACTTTAATTATTGTGATTTTTCATCAATGTATGTGTTTATGTCTTTATTTCAATCCCTTTCAGCATCTTTGAAATGTAGGATTCTCCTAAACATAACAAAGATTACAGTCTAGATACAAAACTTTATGTAAATGTCCTGAGACACTTAACATAAAGTAATAAGGAGGATGATGATGATGATCATGATGATGATCATGACGGTGTTAACCCTCGGCTGACTCAGCCAAGTGATTCATGGTTTAGCCAAAACATTTCTTGTCGTTTGTTCTTACATTGAGATAATCATCAGAGAAGTGACTATTGAACTGATTTGAGGATTTATAAGGACTGAGCATCTATAAAAAATAGACATAATGATAAATAGACAAGATTATGTGTTCATGTCCAATCAACCATTATTTTCTACCTTTATTTGCAAGATAACATGGTGGTGAAAAGGTGACATAAAAGACAAAGAAAGAGACGATAATGTACAAATGTTACAGCAATGACTGAATGGGAAATTAAAAATCATGCGCGTGTTGTTATGCTGCTACCTCACCATGATGGCACAATAGAGGATTACTGGAGTTTCCCTGATGAAACAATAAAGAAACTTCCAATAAGTAGTTCATAAAGTTTCCATTTAAGTAGCTGCTTTTTTTTATTTCCCAGAGAACACCGTAGTGACCTGTCTTTTACGAGAAAACTGAAGGGCATTTCCACTCTGGAATCTGTTTTCCTGCAGGAAGATGACACAGTATGACCTTTGTATTATTTGGTATGTGCATAAACAGGATGGATTTTCCTCCTGTATAGCTGATGAGCGTTTCCAGCAACACAGTTTTCTTAAAGGAACAGCTCCCCTAAATGAAAGAAAATGAATTGCTTTCTTCTTATGAATATTTTTTTGTTTCTTGGAATTACATTAGTCTGAAGAAATAGTCCTTATGAACATGTTGAGAACATGCGGTCTAATGGGAGC